TGCTGTACGGCAGGCCTTGGGAGCCGAGAAGGTGGTGCATACTGGCGATGTACTGCCCCTTCCACTACCACCCCACCCCATCACCTATGCCCCGTCCCCTCCTGCGCGCATCTCGTACTGCGAACCGGTTTCTCAGGGCCTGCTGATGCCAACGACCAAAGTGGTTTTGATCCAGGCACGGCCACAGGGCCACCGGTCACAGCGAAGCTTACGGTCGAGCTCGGGTCTCCTGAAGCAAGTCGCGGAAGACGAAGCAGATGACACCTCCAACGAACAATTCTACTCCGCCGCGGAGGATAAGCCAGTGGAGAGCAGCACAGAGGTCGAAGCTACATCGACGGCGGATGAGTCGGAGACGGAAGGATCAGGAAATGCTAGCGACACATCGGACGACTCCCTAGATGACATGATCTCTCTTGCTGCTCCCGAGCTACCTCAACCGCCGTCCGGCGTCATGTCCGCGATGACTGCTGCCACACCTCGGGCAGGTGGTCGCCGTGGGGACGGTACACATACCCCTGGGTCCGTGGCGTCTAACTTCACCTCTACGACTATGCGCCCTGGGCGAACAAACGGCGGGAAGGTGTTCAAGGCGGAAGGCTTGCTTCGGAGGGTATCGAGCGACCTTCTCCACCCCAGGCCACGGGAAGATGATGATACCGAATCATTCATCTTTGTGGATATTAGCACACTTGCAAAGATTGGTTGTTTTTCAGGAGACTGGGTTAGGATTGAGGCCACTGAAGAACCGCAGCTGAATATGTTCGCCTCTATTAAGCTTGGAAGCTTCAACGAACAAGAGGAGGACTCTGGAAATTGGCGTGCTGCTAAGATATACGGACTCCCAGGCCTGCCATCGGCTAAACCTCGGTATTCGATCAACCAGTCTGGCGAGCGACGGTCGAGTATCTCTCAGCGTGCGCCAACGCGCTTGACTCCTTCCGTCTTCGTCCCGCCTCTGCTCTTGAACAATCTTGAGAACCCGAAATATCTACGCATCTCCCCGATCGCTTTTGCCGCGGCCAATGGAGCTAAGCCTGGTCTTTTGCACCAGGTGAAGTCCAGTGTCGTGCGGAGCCCACCTCTGGCGAAGGAAGTAACTTTACTTAAAGTGTCTACTCCATTGTCTATGGACCGTGTCCTCCAACCGGCTCTGTTTGCTGGTCTCAAGCAATATTTTGAATCGAAACGACGACTACTCAAAGGTGGTGATCTTGTGGGAATCAGCGTTGATGAGGGACTCGGTCGAGCCGTCTTTCCTGTAACAACCGGTGGTGACACCGGTGCCCAGGATGATGATCTGACTATTCGTTTGGGCCAGGTTGCTGATGCTAATCAAACCGCTTCGAAGAAGGTGGGCGTCGCATGGTTCCGCGTTGGACAGGTTGTCCCTAGCACGTCCAGTGAACAGGACGGGCCCGAGAATCAGTGGGGAGGTGTTGCTGTTATCGATTCAGCCACCACCCGAATGGTCCAGGCGGGTAGTGATGTCAGCAGGGTACCAGGCACTATCAACAATGGATGGGAATATTGGCTTGGAGTCAAGACAGTTCCACGGGCTGCCAACGACGCTCCGACTCCGCATGGCCTTATCACGGAAACCCCACAGTCGTTTATTCCTCCGTTGCAGCAGCGCATTCGAGATCTGATGTCAGTGGCAACCAGCCCCCGTGCAATCCAGCTGGGCATGAAACCGGTTGCCATCCTGATCAGGTCCCAACAGAGGCATATCGGCAAGGCGACCATCGCAAACCGCGCTTGTGCTGACATTGGTCTTCATACATTCCCCATCGATGCGTACGATATTTTGACCGAAGGTGGCGCCAATGGAGGTGATGTGAAGACCGAAGCATACTTGAAGGCTAGAGCAGAGCGCGCTTTCCACTGTGGGCCAGAATGCACTGCTCTTTTGATCAAGCATATTGAGGTCTTGACGGCCGACCGGATCATCTCAGCGATGGCTGATATTGTGGCGGATGCGCGAGTCGTGATCGCGACCACCACGGATGTGGAACAGATCCCTGAAGGCATCCGTAGCATGTTCACGCACGAGTTTGAGATGGGTGCCCCGGAGGAAAAAGAACGTGAGGGGATTTTGCGCAACGCTGTCACCGAACGCGGCATCAAAACATCACCTGATGTTGACTTGTCTACTGTTGCTCTGAAGACCGCCGCTCTCGTTGCGGGAGACTTGGTGGATGTTGTTGAGCGAGCCTCAGCCGCAAGAACGGCGCGTCTCGAGAAATTGGCAGAACTGGCGAGCAAGAACGCCGGCCAGGTCGTCAGTGTTAGAGATGTACTAGTCTCCGGCGGAGACGCAGCACGAGGAGTTACGAAGATTGATTTCGATGCGGCAGTTGATGCCGCCAGAAAGAACTTTGCTGATTCCATCGGTGCACCGAAGATCCCCAACGTCAGCTGGGACGACGTGGGTGGCTTGACCAATGTCAAGGATGCTCTGATTGAAACCATTCAGCTACCGCTCGAGCGACCCGAGTTGTTCGCTAAAGGCATGAAGAAGCGAAGTGGTATCCTATTCTATGGACCTCCAGGTACCGGCAAGACATTACTCGCGAAGGCTATTGCGACCGAGTTCTCTCTGAACTTTTTCTCCGTCAAGGGACCGGAGCTGCTCAACATGTACATTGGAGAGTCCGAAGCGAACGTGCGCCGAGTCTTCCAGCGGGCGCGGGATGCTCGGCCTTGTGTTGTTTTCTTCGATGAATTGGACTCCGTCGCACCTAAGCGAGGCAACCAAGGAGATAGCGGCGGTGTCATGGACCGCATTGTCAGTCAACTTCTCGCGGAGCTCGACGGTATGAACGGGGGTGAGGAGAACAGCGGTGGCGTCTTTGTCATTGGTGCCACCAACCGGCCCGACCTCCTCGACACGGCTCTTCTCCGTCCTGGTCGTTTCGATAAGATGCTTTATCTGGGTGTCTCCGATACCCATGAAAAGCAGTCTACTATTTTGGAGGCCCTGACGAGGAAGTTCACATTGTCGCCGGATCTATCGCTCCGCAGAGTCGCCGATCGGCTGCCTCTGACCTACACGGGTGCCGATTTGTACGCCTTGTGCTCGGATGCTATGCTCAAGGCTATTACGCGCAAGGCTACGGCTGTTGACGAGAAGATCAAGCAGCTTCCTGGAGAGCCGGTCAGCACGGCGTACTTCTTCGACCACTTGGCCACGCCAGAGGATGTGGCGGTGATGGTTACGGAGGAAGACTTCAAGGAAGCACAGGATGAGCTGGTTCCTAGTGTTAGGTAAGTCACAATAACTGTTCCCCCCAAGATTTCCCGCTCTAACAGCGTGCAGTGCCAAGGAACTGGAACATTTCGAGCGGATTCGACAGACCTTCGAATCGGTTGATAAGCAGAAGCAGGAGTCGGGCAATTCCGCGCCCCAAACCATCGAGGAAGTGCTGGAGGCACTCAAATCGGGAGACCAACTAGAGTTCAGTATGGACGGACCCACCACCAACGGAGACTCGCATGTCAACGATGCCGGAAAGGGTAAGGGCAAGCAAGTACCCAGTGGCCAGTCGGCTAGTGGGAAAGGTAAAGGGAAGAGCCCTGCAGGAACAGGCGGCAAGTCGAAGAACAAGCTCGTGGCCATGCCGAACGGCGACTCGGATTCGTCTCTGGACGGACCGACGGCCGACCGGGGCACGGGACGAGGCTACGATGATGTTGGCGAGGACGATGAGGATGGGGTGACCAACGGGGGAGATGAGGACTATATCATCCGTACTGACCACTTAGCACAGGATGGTGGATCCAAGTGATGAGGGAGAGGCAAGGGATGATTGAATCCTGGCGCCATCAGATGACCTGTTGTATTATTCATCATGATATCAGGCCATCTGGAGGGCTGGTGTACATATTATACATATATCATACTAGCTGTTATGACTGCATACCATGTGAGAAGAGATTATGATGTTATTATACCATTGTACTGTCCAAAATTTTTACTATTCTATAATGCAGGCAAAGATTGCATGCGGCTCGCATGCTTCATAATGATCGGATCCGAATGCATTAACCCCATTCGGTTTAGGGGGACCTTAAATTCCAGTTAGCGATGAGTATTAGTTTTGCTGTCAAAGGGAAGATAGTCAGCTCTATCTTGGGTATAAAAAGGAAAAATATGGGTATGGAACTTATCTTCTTATCGGTTCCTGATAACCGACAAAGACTGTTTGCCTCCTGTGAGTCAATTGCTGCCCTAATCATCCGTGTTGCCACATTCTCATCATTGGGATAATAACTATGAGATATCTAAACCAGGAGCGGGAGCTTATCTCTGCTGGAATCGGAGCAGGTCCTTTGCCCAATCCATGTTTCACCGGCCAAATAAGCTTCGTCTCCGTCACCCAAACCTGGTTAGACTCCGGTCTTCTCCAGCAGCCCATCCTCCACTATCTCGAATCTGACTGGCGGTCGGCGATTCGACTTCGGCGCTGTGCACGAATCAACTTAAGTCACACCACGGGGGTTCTTATCATTCAGTCCCATTCAGTGCCCATGGTGGGTTGAGAAGCAAGTAAGGCTGGCACTGACTGGTAGTTCTCTGCAGTGGAAGTTGTACCTGTTTGATATTACCCCATATCCATTAGGTAACAGACGACGGAGCATCTCCGCCACTGCGATTCCCTCCCCGCAATTTCGCTGCTCCTCGACCAGCCAGAGCTGCTCTGGCTTCTCATACCTCGGGGAGATATTGTTGCTCCCTCCCAAATCGAGCTGCGATAATCCCGGTGGATAATGAATGGATGGCATCCCGTTTGTCGTAATGACGGGCTTGGGTGTGGAAGCCTTGTTCCGTGACCAACCCCTCCCTGTCCCTGTCCCTGTCCCTCCCCTTCCTTTCCTCCCATTTCCGCTGTCGCCTTACAACCCTCAACTGGTCTGACGTGCTTTGCTTTCTCTCTTATTTTCCCGTGGGATTCCCTACATTCTTCCTCTCTCTATTCATTATACCTTTCTCCTTCCTCCCTCTTCTTCTTCTTCCCTCCTCCCTTCCCTTAATCCTCACTCTTCGACTCGCCCTTGTTCCCGTACAATTCACAGGTTTTTACACATACTTGGGCAATTGATACACCTCGCCCACCATGAAAGACTTTCGGGGAGATGATGACGCCCAGTTGGCGGCCATGGGCCACAAGGCCGAACTGAACCGCAATTTCTCTATGCTGTATGTCACCTTCCCACCCATGCCCTGATGCTGTTGATCTACTTCTCACGTGGACCAATACTGATGGATGGTGGTGGTTGATGCAGGTCAATGTTGGGTTTAGCGTTTGCCATTCTGAATGTACGTCGGCAAATCATCGCCTCCGCTCGACTTCGATAAGAGACCGTCTCTAGTACTAGACCACACCGGGAAGTTGATAGCTAATTAAGTCTGCGCGCAGTCATGGACCGCTTTATCGGCCAGTTTGTCCCTCAGTCTGCCGTCTGGTGGCTGCGTTAGTGTCATCTGGGGTAAGTCATTGGTGTTGAGGGTCTATTCCTAGTTCTTGTTTGCATGCGGGGATGTTTTATGCTATGATTGTGTTGGTGGTCGGTGAGGTTCCTCGGCTAATTTGTGTCTTTACTAGGGTTGATCACGGCTGGTATCTGTAATCTTTGCATGTCGGCTTCGCTGGCCGAGTTCTTGTCTGCCTATCCTACGTAGGTACTTCTGGATGTGCTTTTTTGATGTCTGATACTAATTGGGGTTAAGCGCTGGTGGACAATATCATTGGGTTGCAGGTGAGTGATACATGTTTTATGCTTTATGACTGTTACGGTGCTAACTATTCTTCCTCTACAGTTAGTATGTTTTACAATACCTTGTTTCTTGCCGCTCCTTGCTGACAGTAGATGAAAGTCTCCTGGGAGAGATGGATGCCCCTTCTTTCGTGGATTACCGGTTGGGCGAACGTGACTGGCTGGGTATGTATACAGGACTTTTCTATATGTACAGCTGCTAATTCGTACAGGTTGCTCTCACTGCAACCGGAGGTCTTCTTGGAAGTGAACTAATTTTGGGTGTTATCTCGTTGATGCATCCTGTAAGTCCCTTTCTATCTTTCTGACCCCGACAGTTACTCACAACTCAATAGTCGTATGTCTCTCAGCGCTGGCATCAGTTCCTGATATACATCGCCTATAACATTATTGCATTCCTCATCAATGCCTTTATGGGCTCGCTTCTTCCCTTGGTTACTAAGGGTGCCTGTGAGTGGAATTGTCTGCCTAAATATATGATCTAGAGCTGACATGGCTAGTTATATGGTCCCTTACCGGCTTCACTATAATCTGCATTACTCTCTTGGCATGCGCATCGCCTAACTACAACTCCGGAGAGTAAGTATTACATCGGCGGATTGCTTCTATACGTTATGCTGATCAAATAGGTTCGTCTTCGGAGAATTCATCAACGAAACAGGATGTATGGCAGACCACACCCCTTATTGATCGGTAAATGCTAACAGTTTTTAGGGCCTGATGGACTTGCTTGGCTGCTTGGAGTATGTTTTGCTACCTAAATTCTGTGAAGTTTGTTACTCATACCATGTAGCTCCTTCAAGGTGGACTGGGTCTCACAGGCTTTGTAAGTCTTCTGCTCTCTATTGCACAACACTGTACTAATTTCTATTCAGGACGGTGTCGCACACATGATCGAAGGTAAATCTGCCGACATTACTGTCGTTATCACATACTGAACATTCATAGAAATTCCGAACCCCTCGGTGGTAGGGCCCAAGATCATGATTGGTTGCGTCGGTATTGGAACCTTTACTGGCACTATCTTCTTGATTGTTCTCCTGTTTGTGGCTGGAAACATCTACGAAGATATCAACTCCGCGGCCACGCCTTTACTGCAGATTTTCGTGAATGCGACGAGCAACAACGCCGGTGCCATCTGCCTTCTCGTGTAAGTTGTTCCCAAGATGTCGGTCCGCATTTACTGACGTGTTCAAGCTTCCCTCTCGTGTGTGTTCTCTTCGCTGCTATCACGATCATGACCACCAGCAGTCGTATGATCTACGCCTTTGCAAGAGATGGCGGTCTCCCCGCTTCTCCTTTCTTCAGCAAGGTGCACACCAAGCTGGAGGTTCCTCTGAATGCATTGTACCTTACCAACATTCTGGTCATTATTTTTGGATGCATTTTCCTCGGCTCGTCAAGGTACGTCAACTGTCAGAGTAATCATACATATTGCGGTATGTTAACCTCAACAGTGCATTCAACGCTATTGTGTCGGCTTCGGTTGTCATGCTTGATGTGGCGTACGGCATCCCTATTGCAGTGAACTGCATTCGCGGCCGGAAGATGCTACCGGAGAGGTCCTTTGTCTTGCCCAACGTCGTGGGCTGGATTGCAAACCTGGTACGTCTGACTGGGAAACTATTGATCCGTAAAATACTGACATGTTTCCTGGATAGATCTCGCTAGCCTACGTTTCCCTCACGACCGTGCTCTTCCTCTTCCCCCCTGACTACCCTGTTACTGGAAGCAACATGAGTAAGTTCGTCCCGATATCCACTTTACCAAATTTCTAACGTGTCCGCTCTAGACTACTGTGTAGCCGTGTTTGGCATCGTTATGGTGGTGTCGATCTTCCAATGGTTTGTTGACGGACGTAAGAACTTCACCGGACCCCGGATGGATGTAGATATCATCAGTGGCCAGGTAGCCCCCGGTGAAGGCACCGATGAAGTCGTGGTGCCTACCAACTTCCATGAGAAATAAGCAGGTCGCAAATTGGCGAATCGGATGAACATGGGCCCGAGCACAGGTGCTCAGGTATTTTTGGAAACCTTTTTTGTATATAACACACGGCGTCTTGGAGCATAGAGTTTAGCCTGAATAGTCATTCACTCGAACCACTGGTGGCAGCCATCTCCGGTGAATGCAGCATGAATTGCGTCATATCCAGAGGCGGGAGATGGGCCGATCCCAACAACTCCAGATAACCGCTCCTCTTTTTCCCCACACTTCGGCTCACTTGCTCTTTGTTGACCTCGTGCACGCCTCGTGCTTCTCTACACGCGATTATCAGGGTAGATCTGAACTTGATAAGACCGATAAGGCTGCTACTCTGCCGATCTTCACGGTCTGAAGCGTGCATCTACCTGTCAAGTGATTGATTCTTCGAGTGTCTCTCGGCGTCCTCGAAAACCGCCCGATCTCAACGCCAAGACCAGCCGCTCCAACGGCTCGTCAACAGATCGGGTTTACCGTGCTAGATAGCGTTTAAGCTGTCTTTAGTCTCTGTTTCCCTCTCAACTGGAGTAAACATGTTTTCCTTTCTACCCCAGATCAGCAGAATATTCGGGGACCGCGTGTTATTCGCGCTGCCTCCTGTGAAGACTCAGGAAATTGATACGGCCCATGAAAAGCCCGCGCGCGCCCTGAAACATCTGCTGAAATTGAACCATGCCAACCATGCTATATTGTACAATGATCGAAAGTTTCATAATCATGCTCCGCACGTAAGTAGACTGCTATTTATTGGTTTGGATGCTGCTAACATGCACAGATTCTGAGCTCATCGTTCATGCAAGGTGCTGATGCAGATGACTTGCACCGCGTTTATGAGGCAGAGTCCAAGCACCTGGAACCTTGGACTGATGCTCCTGGGGAAATCAGTGACTTTGACTGGAGAGATTTTCTGGGTTGCAGAGAGTAGGGCTCATTCTACAAACCTGACGACCACTCGCTAATATGCGTTCAATAGGTATCAACGTGCCTTTGTGGACTTCTTTGAAGATGAACTTGTCCGCCAGTCCTACGACTGGAAGCAAGTCGTCAACGAGTATCTTTTCTCCGGAAAAGAGCCCATCTTCAACTCTATCATCGCTGATCGTACGTTGTACAAGAAAAGTACCTCACTCAAAACACTTCACTAACCACCCACACAGTCGGCCACCCCCTAATCCACCTGGCATACGCCTTCGAATTCGCCAGCCGCGAAGTAGCCATGGAAGCCCTAGCCCTGACATCAACCTGCTACAGTGCGATTCACAAATACCTGGATGATCCATCCTACGCCCAAGCCGAATCATCCTACCAGTCAACCTCTCTCTTCGACATCCTCGACAAAGTCCGTCTCGACAAACAGTTCAACGGCCTCTTCGGCACCCCCGGCGGCAACAACATGGACATCGTCTTCCGCGACCGCGAAGCCGCCCTTCTCAACCACTGGAACGCGTGGAAAATCCAAGACCCTATCGCCCAGTTCCGCGAGAGCCAGGAAGTCGCCGTCGCTATCCTGACCGGCACGCACTCAGACCGCACCAGCGAACAATACGACTTCTTCTTCGTCCACATCCTCACTACCAGCCACGCCGTCCGCGTCTTACTACCCCTCATCCCTCCCCAGTTCCAGCTCTCCCTGGTCAGACAGTGGTGGCTCATGACGCTGTGCGTTTACATTGCTCAGCTGCGTCCGAAGATCGACCTCGACCGGATTCGCAAGTATGACCTTGGTGGTCGTGATTGGAACTGGACTGCTAAGAGGGCTGTGAAGAGTGAGCATTCGACTGATGCGCATTATGTGAAGGCGCTGCGCGCTTATAAGGAGTGTGCGACTACGTGGGGTGATGCGGATGAGTTTTATCTCAAGGCGGCGGTGAGGTTCGGTGAGGAGTTTAATGGTTGGGGTGGGTTTGTTTGAGTTTGATTGATGGGTGTGGAATACGGAAAGTGGTTTGTTGGTGGTGTACTTGATATCTCTGCTCTTTATATGAACGCGAAAAGTGATACTTAATAGGTTTGTGCAGAGTAATGAAATTTCTTTTCTCTATTCTTGTATGGACTAGTTGGATCCGATTATTTCATAGATGGCCGCTGTAGAATCATTGAGTATTAAAGTAATACCGAAGAATAGAAACAGTAAATTATCAGTTGATATTAAAAAGGAAACTGTTACTATATTAGGAAGGAACTGCGCAAACATACAACGAGTGCCGTCTTAAGCCTGCTACGGAGTAAACAGGACTAGCTCCACGACCACTTACGAATTAGAAAAGGTGACTTTTCATCCCATCTTCTTCGCGCCTTTTGGTTCTTCTGCTCTAGCACCCTTATTGTCACCCTGGAAGCCTACAAAACTCTTCCTCTAATCTGCTACTGGTTTCTAGACCGCGAAGACCCTGACTATGCGCTGGAATTAGAAGACAAAATGCTGGATATGGAGATGATAAGCACACGGATGAAGATAATGCAGACTCGATTGAATGCGTACTGCAAAGGGCTCCTCGAGGTACATTATCCTACTGACAACAAGACTATCGAATTAGAATCGCCTACGTCATTCTTCGGCTTTCATGTAGATTTCCTACACAGGACCGTGCGAGACGTCCTCTAGACGCCAGAAATGCAAGCTTTTCTCCATACATGGCTGTCACGGGATATCAACCTCGACCTCGACATCTGCAAATTCATTTTAGCCATGTTCAAGATCTCAGCGCCCTATTCATTAAAAAAAGAGTCACTCATACCATTTTAGGTGGTTCATTGAAAGCTTCTTTCATCACATAGCAAAATTAGACGACGATACAGCCTGCGAATGCTCCCAATTCGCTCTCCTAGACAAATTGGCAACAATTTTCCAACTCTACATTGAGATCCGAACGAGTCATTACAATTACATGGACGAAGACATCGACGAGGTCGTGGACCGTGACGTTGTTCTTGATCTAGGTTTAGGGCATTTTGCACATAATAAGCAGTGGAACGGGGAGTTAGCAATACTCGACCGATCGGTCAAAGCAGGTCTTACTCGCTATACTGAGCATATACTAAGAAAGAACCCAAATATACTGACGGAGAATTCTGAAATACTCCTGCTTGAAGCACTATCTTTCGCAAATATTTATGAGATTGATGGCTTATGTGTTCCAAATTCGGCGATGCTCCAGATACTTCTACAAAGTGGCGCTGACCCTAATGGGCCACCAATCACCGGCCTCTGGGTAACCTATTTGAAATTTTTGAGAAGGTGGAAAGAAGAAAAAGAAAATTCTGGGCAGACTTTCAAAAGCCACTACCCAGCTGTCCGGATGCTTTTAGAACATGGGGCTGATCCCGACGCTCGGTGTTTGAATCAGTGAACGGCGGTCATATTGCTGCAGGAATTGTTCTCTCCGGCTCAATATGCCTGCCTACAAAGGGTGATTGAGGATAGACAGCTAAATGAGAGAAACGGGAAATTTCATAAAGGGAATCAGAAAGGTAGTAGGAAGCAGCATGCGAAGCCTAAGGAGACGGGGAAACTCCACGTGGTTCGATCATTTCTTCGGGAATTGAGCCCTTTCCGTTCACGACGAAAGTGCTCAGTTGATGGATGACCTACTGGGCTGAGATATACAGAAAGTGGTTGAGAGCATGAAGAGGGTGTTGGTGTTACAAATATAGTTCTGTTTCTGCCTAAGGCATATATAACGACAAGCACTCACGTGAGTTCGCGTTCAGTTTGTCTCCTTTGCATCTCCACCTCCGCGGTCCTCTTGATCTTCATGTTTTATTATCTTTCAACCAGACGACAATATCCAACACTGAAAATCCCAATGCTCGCCAGACTAACTAATCACTAAACACAGTAACAGGAACTCAACCCACAATGGCACAATTATCACAAGATGAACCACAACTCAACCCAACTACACCTCTCCACCTCCACGCCGAACTCCTCCCCAACATCCGCCAACTAACCCTCTACATCTCAGCTCCCCCAAACACCCCCCGCTCTGACCTCCAAATCACTCTCTCAGACTCGCGCCGCGCAGTCACCGTAACAGTCCCCTCCAACACCAACCAAGATGACCTTTCCTCAACCTCAGAAACAATCAAACTCCCCGCGCGCGTCAGCGAATCCTCCCGACGCATCCTCCAACAACAGCCACCTTCCACACAAGGCGGAAGTGAATACTCCTTCCGCATGCAAGTAGACGATAATGACACGTCCCTGCACAAGGATGAAACAACCCTAAATGACGGGTTCATTCCCTGGACAGCGACGGACATGTCCGCGCATACACACCTGCGGTGCGTCAAGTGCCATAACCCCATCCTTAATGAGGGGAAATTGTGGAAAGACCTTCCGAGCGGGAATTGGGCTGAGATGATGGATTTCTGGCATTGTCATAAGCCAGATCCGCCAGAGGAGGAGAAAAACAAAGATGGAGAAGATCCTAATGCGGTGGTGAAGGGGTATGGGGCTGGTAATCAGCTTGTTGCGGTGGAGGGAACGGTGTTGGTGGATGTTACGAGCTTTTTGGTGAAGGGGGTGGATTGTCTCGGTGTTGAGGAATCAAAGGTAAGGGATTTTATGTTATGTGTTTCTGGGTTGGATTGTTTGGGAGCATGGCTTTATAATAGAGGGGGATATGGGTAACAAGAAGGAGACCTTTTCAGTCAATGATGAGGCCTTCGATACAATTGCCCTATAACTACAGAGTCTTGATCGGTCTGTATGGCCCGGCATGAACGAGTGCAGTGGCTGGTGCTGGGGTGCTGCGGGATAGATATCCTCTCTCGCAGATGGATTTCATCCCGTGGTTGTCTCAGCATGGGTCAGTGTAGCTTGGGTGCTCTGGTGCTGTGATCAGGACTGCGCCTCGCTGTTTCTCCGTTGTCTTGGGTCCAGAGTGATGGAGTCGACGCGATTATGCAGAGGTACATATATCGTCTATACCAGTTAGCATAGGCTCAAGATAATGCATGTAGGTAGAATTAAGCGTGTTATACCTTATACTACAAACCTACATCTTCCACAGGCTAATGCCCTCCTCATAGGTCCCATCCAAAGACTCAACACCAACCCAGCCAGACACAAACACAGCACCAGAAACAACAGCAACAATCCTAACCTGCACAACCTGCACCACCCAACTCGGCCTCCCCGACCCCATCGCCAACGGCTACCGACTCTTCAAAACCAGCCTATCGGCCAACCACTCGCCCAACCCTTCATCCTCATCCTCCCAACTCAACCCTCCAGAGGAGTCCTGGGAATCCCACCCCCCGGAAACAATCCTCACCGCACAACTCCTCGAACTCATCGAACGCGAAAGCTACCGCCGATTCGTCATCCACTGCGGAGCTAAAGACGGACTTCTCGTAAGCCTAACCCCATACCCATACTCTCTCCCATCTCCAATCCCACCCACAACATGTCTACAATAGAATACTAATATAAAAGATATAGATATGGCCCTTCAACCCCTCCCTCCGATACTCCACTACCAGCGCATCGCACAGCACGGCGGCACAACTCGCCATGAAGGTATTCTACCAGCATATTGATAATGTCGAGGAGGTGTTGCATCCCGAGGCGGGGAAGGGGAATCAATCGTTGGCTATTGAGGAGGTGAGGCTGCCCGGGGAGGATGCGTATAGGGAGTTGGTGGAAGTGTTGGAGGAGAGGAATCGCATGTTGCCCGCTTCGGCGAGGGTGTTTAGGGAGTGGAGGGTTGGGTTGTTGTGGAGGTTTGAGAGGAGGTAATAGTAGTAATAATTCATGGATTTGTTGGTAAATTCTAGATTGGGTTGGGTAGGGTGTGGTGTTTGTTCCTTCCTGTTTGGGTTGGGTAGTGAATGGAGGGAGCACTTAGCTACGATTCTACGGGAGTGAGAGTCAAGAGAGATTCTGAACTCACTTCTGAGTGGTGATAGTGTTCTTGCAGGTAAGATACTATTACTCTACTCTGTTCTATCTAGATTGGTTCTGTTTGATTTGTACGTTATACTGACCGAATACTGAGTTCATAGATACACACTCAACTCAACGCCCTTCAATCCTACCACTATCAACCCACACTCTCACACTCCTACAATTTCCAAGGTCTACACACAGGCATAATACATAATCATAAACAATGCCCCAAATAACACCCCAACTTCAATTTCAACCTCAATCTGAACCTCAATCCCACCCTCGTTCCCCCTCCACCACCTCCGACGAGAACAACACCGTCACTTGGGAACACCTTGAACATGCTCCGCCGTCACTTTCAACTCAATCGATAAATACTACTGCTCACGATAACAATAACCGGTCTACTGCGGAGAACCATTCTGGAGGGGTCATTGGCCATGAAATGCACGCACTGTCTGAGGCGGTGCATGTTGAGGATGTGATGGCTATCCCCCAAGGCACTGGAACTGGGACGGGGATGGGGATGGGGATGGGGATGGGGATGGGGATGGGGATGGGGATGGGGATGGGGCCTGGGGCTGGTAGGACGCCGGCTATTAGGATTCATCCGCCTGGGGATACGGTATCTACGTCTGCATCTGTATCTATGGTGGGTGGTGATGAGGGCGAGGAAAGGGGAGGGTGCTCTACGAAGTCTGCTTCTTTCTTTGGGAGATATGAGGGGTTGGGGAGGTAGATTGTGTGATGATCCGTGATGAGGTTCGTGTTGCAGGGTGGTGAGAGCAGTGAAAGGAGATGTGTGCACTGGTGGTTTCAAGCTCTTTGTGGTGTTACCAAGCGCTGCTATAAATATTACTAGTGGGAATGCCCTGGACGGCTGAACACCGCTTGATAATCTGCTTAATTCATGCTCTGTACTGTAATTCATATCTAGGCCAGTCCGCTGCCATCGTACACTTCATTAGTAGAAACTGTCGAGGCAGTGGGATCTAACCCTCAAACGGCGTCTCATATGGCGCTTCCGCCTGCGGAGTGATTCTCGCATGGTGTCGTCTCTGGCCGTCTTCCCAGTCGAAGAGGGCGGAGTGGGTAACGACGCGGTTCTACACTCGTTAGACTTGATTCTTGTCGAGTAGGTGGGGAGGGTAGACTTACGTCCCAAACGACCACAGTTCCAGGACGCCATCTCACCCGGGTCTGGAGATCCTGAGAGAGAGCGATGTGGTCGTAGAGGAATTTGAGGAGGTAGTCGGACTCTTCCTTCTTGTAGCCGACGATGTAGCGGGTGACTGTTTTGGTTAGTAACATAGAGTACGAGTGTAATGATAATGGTACTTACATTGGGGATTCACGAAGAGGGCTTTTTCTCCGGTTACCTGGATTATACTATTAGAATAAAGATTTTGGAATAGTTTCGGGGTTGTGCATACCGGATGAGTTCTGACAATCGGGTGTTCAGAAGTAATTGGATCCCGTCGAGCAATGCCCCCCTTGTTCAGACTGTTGTTGACCTGCTCAATGCCGGAGTGGACTGCCTTCAGCCCATGAAGTCTCTTACGGAACTCAGGCGAGAGACGTCTGTATGCCTGTGCCATATCGGCGAAGAGGGTGTCACCACCGCTTGATGGTCCATCCAGAATGTACAGGAAGGTCGTGCCTGGAGGCTGCTTCTCGAAGGTCACGTCCGAGTGCCAGGTAATGGTGTTGGTGCGTTGGGACAGGAATTCAGCTCCGCTTCTGTCATCGGCACCTCTGTGTACGAGGTGGATCTCTGGGAAGCCCTTAGGTGCTCCAGAGGTCTGGTGGATGTGGTGTCTGCCAAAGTAGCCGCCGAATTCTAGGGCTTTCTCGATGGGCAGGTGTGCGAAGTCTTGGTCGCGGAATGCTAATAGGATTTGTTAATGGGAAGTCATCTTGTTTTGGGGAAGGGGATCGTACCAACAACCTTCCGCTGAGCTACGTACAAAGCCAGCTGGTCTTTTCCTTCCTTGGTCAGTTGGCTCAGCTGGACACCACGAACCTCAGTGCCAATGGTCGGTGTAATGTCGTCGATTTCGGCTTTGTCCTTGGGGAGAAGGTCAGGGAAAGTCGGGTCGGCATCCTTTCCGTGGTCGTAGTGCTCGAAGGGCTGGAGGGGAGGGTATCTATAGTTGTCAGTGCGATGATGTGAGTATAGTTATGGATGGTGTAAGCTACCTTTCTGTTTCGTTGTCCCAGACAGGAAGATAGTTGGGGAAAGAAGCAGGTGGCTGTTTCTCAGTTCCCTTCAGCTCGTTCTCATGCTTGTAAGCCTCTCCATAGCCAATCACATTCTCCTTATTAAAACCAGCATCGGTCTTAAGCGTAGACTTAGGTGCCGCCCGAAGCGACAGAGTTTCTTCAACCAGAGATGGGGCCATATTGGATGTCTGCAGGTGCAACTATGACAGCTGTGCTGTTTTTGTGGTGATATCTAGAACGCATCCTGCACCGAGAACATCATCCATATATATTCTGCTTCCCATTCCGAATATCCATCTTTTGTCACGCAATTCCTGCGGGGTATGGATTGACGCCATTTCCCGGCTGTCACGTATCACGGAGATACTGCAGTCGGATATGCTGGGAACTCGGACAAGGAGTTACGCGAGCCACGGGAAGGTCGTGTAAGCCAGCATGACTCGCCGATCGGGCATGTCAATGGTGCAATGATAATGCAAGAAAGTTAAGACGTCAGTGCTGTGGTTATCAATCATTGTTTCACTCGAACCGAGCCAGGCTGCAGCCAACCAGATCTATGAATGGCTAGGATGATGCCCTTGACTATTTTTGGATATCCTGCGGACAAAATCATTGAATTCCATTCATGTCCAACATAGGTTCCGGTACTCTACGTGTCGAGGGCGTGCTGCATTTAATGCAGTCAATGTAGTGCATGGAAGGAAGAGAAGAGGAGGTGGTTGCTGCTAGTAAAGCGGGCCAAGCATGGCGTGATAGTGCTGTTGCTTCGCGCAACTCGCCCTAATTAAGCTCGCCGGCAAGGCGACGTGCAATCCAGACTCATACCCCGCCTAAGACTTTGTCTCTAAGATTTTATTGTATTTTGGTCTGGGTCAGATTTATCTGGAAAATATTCTTTGCTGGGTTGGCTGCGCGTATTGTGAGGTGTTACTGGAACTGTTGTCTTGTCGCGATGAATCGCATCAAAGTCCGCATCTACCACGTTTTGAATGCTCACCATGAACCTTTGGAGACCATAAAAAAAAACTTGATTAAAACACCATTCGTATCAGATCCCCCCACCATAAGCGGCTTATCCTTCCCAATCAGCAATAAAGACAATGTTGCGATGTCAAGCCCCTAGCATATCATCATAAGCCAATGTGATGGTGACATCGCAGTTCTGGCGAACTTGATACAATCTCTCTGCTATTATTGGATCTTCTGCCATCAACTGCGGAGATCTGGAGCAGCCGCTAATCTCAGTCCCGGCACTTGTCCGCTTAACCTTACTTGTTCCTCATAACGTCAGTTATGCTCCCCTTGCGTGATTTCATCCCCTGCCGGGACTTTTGCGCAAGATCGGGCAAGTCTCTAGCACTAACAAGCACTTCGGCAAGTAAAGCCATATCAGATTCTGCGGCCCTTGAATCATAGCATATCAGCCTTTAGGTACTTCTCGGCCGTAGTTGACGTTGGCCCCATTCCGCCAACCATTTCATGTCGCACATCGATGCGCTCAACGTTCTAGGTTGCCTGAACCTTACCCACTCATGCGACAATTGGCTACGTATAGCTACCCACAGCTCTCGTGCTAACAACTAGTACATCGTGCTGACACTTTAACAGAAAATTGCGTGATGGAGTTCGACGCCTTTTTATCGCTGATGGACACGTCAAAAAGGCCCGATGTCCCCTGAGTTGCAGCTTATTTCTTGAACTCAACCACCCGAAGCTGGTCCTTCACTGTTACTCTGCCTCTCACCACCTTGCTATACAGGCGAGATGACCACAGACGGTGTCAAGGAAGTCCCCGCGGACACGGCCTCCGCAAATGAGGACACCAAGAAGAACCCTGATGTCTCAACATCATCGGCATCGTCATCCTCACTGACGGACTCGGAACACAGAATCGCAAAGGTCACTGACTGCGCCTTTGATACGACGGAAGACCCTAGGTTTTACAAGCCTATCCCCGAGTATGAGAGCGCGCATCGCTGGGATCCATACTTCGAATGGACGGAAGAGGAAGAGAAGGCACTAATCAAGAAGGTAACTACCATTTATTCAAGCCTATCTGCTAAATCATAGCTGATCGCAACAGATTGACATCCGAGTTTGTACTTTTGCATGCGTTACGTTTTTCGCACTTCAGCTTGACAGAGGCAACATTGTGCAAGCAAACTCGGACAGCATGCTGGGGGACCTCGGAATGACCACGAACGATTACAACACCGGACAAACAATTTTCTACCTCACTTTCCTCTTTTCCGAGCTTCCTTCGCAGTTACTGTCTAAGAAGGTCGGTCCGGATCGCTGGATTCCCATTCAAATGGTCGCCTGGAGTTTCGTCGCCGCATTCCAGGCATTTCTCAAGAACAAGGCCGGATATTTTGCCTGCAGAGCGCTTCTCGGCCTCCTAGAGGGAGGATTGTGAGTCTTCCTACACCTGACTACCAGGGAATGACCTTCCTAACAATTTCTAGCATTGCCGATACTATCCTCTTTCTGTCCTTCTTCTACAAGTCCAAAGAGCTGCCGCAACGGTTGAGTTACTTCTGGGTTTCTTACGAAGCTACATCGATCGTCGGCGCTTTTCTGGCCTTCGGCTTCCTCCACATCCACGGCTCTGACGGTTATACTGGAGGATGGCGCTATCTGTTCGCTTTTGAGGGTCTTATTACAGGAATCATCGGGATCATCGCCGCGTTCTGGATGCCTGCATCTCCCACCCAGACTAAAGGCGGTTTCCGCGGTAAAGACGGTTGGTTCAACGAGCGCGAGGAGAAGATCCTTGTCAACCGTGTACTCCGTGACGATCCCAGCAAGGGAAGCATGCACAACCGTCAGGCGGTCACACCGAAGATGCTTTGGCATGCTCTGTGCGACTACGACATGTGGCCCATCTACCTGCTTGGTCTGACGTGGATGATTCCCAACACACCTGCTACCAACTACATTACCCTGGAGTTGAAGTCGCTTGGGTTTGGCACCTTTGAAACGAATCTTCTGACCATCCCCGCATATGTCATCTTCATTATCAACCTACTGTTCTGGACATGGATCTCAGAACGCTTCAACCAGCGTCTACTTCTCGGTGTCGTCTCTGAATTCTGGTGTTTGGTCTTGCTCATCGCGCTTGAAGTCCTGCCAGATGGAGCCAGTGGATGGGCGCGGTGGATCATCAATGCTCTCTTGATTGGAGCCCCTTACGTACACGCCATTATCGTGGCCATGACATCCAGAAACGCGGGCTCAGTCCGCACACGCACGGTTGCGAGCGCGGTATACAACATGATGGTTCAGGCCTCTAGTATCATTGCTAGTCAGGTCAGTGAGATGCTTCCCCGCATCATGGCTCACTACTAACCCCTTGCAGATTTATCAAGACAAGGACAAGCCTTACTACCGTGTGGGTAATAAGGTTCTCATTGCCATCTCTGTGTTCAGCATGGCTTTATTCATTGGGGCCAAGTTTTATTACATCTGGCGCAACAAGTATGGCTCACCAATTCTCCGATAATATTGACCACAATGCTAACTATGCCGCTAGGTACAACGCTGCTCGTTGGAATGCCATGTCCAGCGAAGAGAGGGAGGAATATCTGGCAGCTAATAAGGATCTTGGAAACAAGCGGTGAGTCTTCCTTCCGCAAGATTGCCTGATAATCTGTCTAATCAGTCGCCTTGCAGACTCGATTTCCGATTTACTCACTAGATGAGCACGATTAATGATTGATTATATTATACAACTAAAACATAGATGACCAACTGCATATATGGAAAACTGGTGGACGCCCCGCGGGATACCCTGAAGTCTATAGATTAGACGATAGAGCAAATTCATAATACAACACATCGCTCAAGTGATCATAAACCGTAAGGGACAAGCCGTAATTCATGTCCACTCGTGCCTATTCTCCAATGACATACTCGCATCCACTGTCTCCAATCCACACCTCATGCAGCTTGCCCGCCGGAACATCCAGTCGTGCACCAACACCGAACGTCTCCTTTTTTACCTCCCCATTATGCAGCTTAGCATTGTCGTCCGGGTAGGTGATTGTCAAACTCCCTTGGCGGATTAGATGCGTTGTGACACCGCCATGTGAGTGTGGTGGATAGTGAGCATTGCTAGGACAGTATTAGCTCTACGAGTACTTGGATTATGATAAATCCTATGCACGAAACGATAAAAAAGATCAAGACCCCAAGAGGTACACAGCATAACACCCATGGTTTTCATCAACTCACCTTCCGTCTGCCCAAGTAAAGACATGCTTGAAGCCCCAATCCTTGACTAGACGTTCGCATTCTTTGCGTGTACCAATGGGGTATGTTTCCGCCATTTACCTTGCTCCAGTAATACAGCCACCTGGATTAGAGTAACGTTTGAGGCAGAGAGATACTCTGGAAGCTGTATAGAAGTGTTGGTGATGCGGGGAATACAGCGATGACGTCGTTGGGATTAGTAATTCATGGCAGGTGAGATGCTTGTTGACGGTCACGTGGAGTGGTATCTTGTTTGATTCTATTTGGCGGTGCTTCCTTGGCTGGACATACTACTGAGTAGATTCACGACTGCCACTATGCGTTCTAGAGGCATTGACCAACATGGTAATGACCAACTGCGCCCTTGAAGATGTCAATGCTAAGGTATCCTCTTTGCTTCAACATCATCAAAGATTTTACTTTTGCTGAAAGAAAAGAAGACCCAGTTTCTCTGTTACACTATACGAGAGTCCCTCGTTAATTTATAGTGGCAGGCGCCCGAGAAGCGACTGACAACAAGATACATCGTCAGCAAAGCAACGACTGGGCTCCGACAGATCTTCAAATGAAGCCTTCCCAAGGACAAACCTAATTTCACCGAGACATGGCTTCTTACACAAATGCATTACTAAGGCTGAATCAGTCAGAGAAAAGTCTATACCCGGACGAAATACTACTGCAAGCGACACGGGATGGTATGGCGCGGTTCTCCCCCGAGGGCGTTAGATTAACGCTAAACCACTTAGCCCACGCCAACGCCTTAGCTCCAGAACGCCAGGTGGGTCACGCTTGATAGTGGAACACCCAGGATTTGATGAAGCTCCTCTTATCGCAGCCAACCCAAGGCGAATTAGAGCCAGCTGTATCTGGCTACTGAAGCTTCTCACCCGCATCGATGGCTTCTAGGCCACCCCTACCCCCTGTCGATGACTGAAATGAAGGGCAGAGTTTCCCTTCTGGGAACTCGTCAGGAAATGGTGGGTTGGCTAATCCGGATGCATGATGCAGGGCCTCGAGTGATTAGATTGAAATATAGCTACTCGTCCCTCGTCTTGAAATCCGTGCCAATCCTTTGCAAGTACCAAACTCCAAAGGAGAGACAGAGGAAATCGAAGAAATGCCGGACAATGTTGAACTCACAACCACCAAGGGTGGAAATAATATTTCCACTGTATTCGCTGATGAAGGGCTTGCCAAAGGTCATGTTGCTCAAAAGTATATCGGCACTATGGCCGACCAAAGGGATATGCAGGCTTTAGGAAAGGAACAAGTTCTCAGGGTTCGCTATCCGTCTATTCAGTGAGAAGCTTTTTTTCTAATCGTATTCTCAGAGAAATTTCCGGTTCATTTCAATCGTTGCCTTTGGATGTACTCTGATTGCTTCATGGGAGGTCATGCTGACGTAGGTCATACCTGATCCTGGATTTGTTCATGATGCTGATACTGGGACAGCATGATGAGCTCGCCTCTGGTAGATGGTGGCACTGCTGGTTTCATCTGGGGATTTATCGTGGTTTCGGTTGGTGTGTTGCTTCTGTTCGCCAGTCTGGCGGAGATGGCTTCCATGTGAGTGCACGCATTCCATCCTGAAATGATACAACAGCTAATCTTTTCACAGGGCACCCACTGCTGGTGGCCAGTATCACTGGGTTTCAGAGTTCGCACCTAGGAAGTACCAGAAGTTCTTGAGTTATATCACTGGTATGTATAGCTACCCGCTGAGGATGGCTGAGCCTAACAAGCCCGGTCGCATCTAGGATGGCTCTGTGCCACGGGCTGGGAATGCGCAATTGTGTCAATTGCTTTCCTGGCAGGTACCATCATTCAAGGACTGGTTATCCTCAATTACCCAGATTATGTTTCTGAGCGGTGGCACAGTACTCTCATTACAATCGCCATCACCCTTTTCTCCGTTCTCTTTAACACCTTCCTCGCCAAGAAGCTCCCTCTCGTTGAAGCCTTCATCTTGATCCTCCACATTGCCGGGTTCTTCATTGTGATTATACCCCTGTGGGTTTTGGCGCCCATCAAGGACGCCAAGTCAGTTTTCACCCAGTTTACAAACGGTGGTGATTGGAATAGCAATGGTACTGCAACGATGGTTGGTCTGATCACTGCTATTACTGCCATGATTGGCTACGACTGTACTGTCCATATGTGTTAGTAAAGGCTCTGGCTCGATCATTCAGACATGCTAATACAGTACACAGCCGAGGAAGTTCGAGATGCTTCCACGACACTTCCCAAAGCTATCATGGCGGCGTGCTCCTTGAACGGGGTCTTGGCCTTTGTCGTTATGGTCACTTTGTGTTTCACCTTGGGTGATGTGAATGAGGTTCTTGACTCCGCTACTGGGTATCCTTTCATTCAGGTCTTTTTCAACGCCACCAAGAGCTACGCAGCTACAAACGCAATGACTGCAATTGTGACCATGTCGCTTATTGCCAGTGTTATTACTGAGGTCGCTACTGCGTCGCGTCAACTTTGGTCATTCGCCCGTGATGGGGGCGTCCCACTGGCTAGCTTTTTCGGTCATGTAAGGGTTCCCACTTCTTGATTAGTTTCAGCTTTAATATACCAGTACTGATGGGCAACAGGTCAATCCCAATTGGAACATCCCCCTCAACGCTGTTCTGGTGTCCCTCGTGCTTACGATGCTGCTATCACTCATCAACATCGGCTCGACTGTCGCCCTGGATGCCTTGATCACCCTCACTGTCGGAGCATTGTTGAATTCCTATATCGTCACTGTTTCCTGTGTCGCATGGAAAAGAATTCGTGGGGAACCATTACCCCCACATCGGTGGTCACTGGGCCGATGGGGACTTTGGGTAAACCTCGGGGCCCTGGCTTTCCTCATCCCGGAGTTCGTTTTCGTTATGTTCCCCCTTTACTCGACTGTGGATCCCGAGAACATGAACTGGAGCTCACTCATGTATGGTGGCATGTTGATTTTTTCCATCATCTACTATGCGTTGTACGGGCGGAAGACTTATGTGCCGCCCGTGGCCCTGGTCAAGCGCGAAATCTGATTTGGACGTTCGTTGGCTGGACTCGTTATTGCTGCTGCATGGACACGCCACCTCTTTCCGTTTTGATGATCCTGGCGCAGTAACAGGTCGACGTTGGCGGTCTCCACCGCACCGGCCTATCGCCTGCATCTGTGTCGCAAGTGCCTGCGCATTCTTCGCCGGCGTAATGGAGCCCGAACTACTGTGGTTTATTGGCGATTCGTATGGAGGATGGCCAGGATGCTATTCCTTCCTGACTTCTGCCCACAGTGGGGTTGAAGTCGAAAAGTTTTCTTTCTACCGTATGGTTTGATTCAACCGCTGGTAATACTACGAAACTCAAATGACAGGTTTTGATTACTTCTGGATCCTAATCTCTATTTCATATATCTCGGCGATGGCCCGGCCGGATCTTGTTCGCCAGATGATCCCGCCGCGGCCCACCGGAACAGCACCGGGAGCTTACCAGCGCTTCTCTCACGAACCCTAACTGATCCGGGCAAGTCCCCCGACGATCAACGGGAACGCCGCTGCGGACACATTCCCCGGAGCGTTCCTTGTGGATCCGGAAGGATGCCCGCTCATGTTTGGTATCACGCCAATGAGCACTACGTTTATGAAGCCAGGCAGCAAGCTTGTTAGTGATCTTTGAGCTGTTATATCCGCGAGGCCACCACCTTTCATTTGCACTGTTTATAATAGAATCATGCTCAGCTCCTTCGACAGAATACATGTTTTAAACACTAGCACGGGTAGTGGCAGTCTAATCAAGCTAAAGGGGTATTTAGTCTGCCATGGTTGGAGACGGATGCGACATGATTGCGTGTGACAATCATACTAAACTCTAGGGTAGTATGATCCCTGCAAGTGCTTCCTTCTCCGTTATTAACTTTTATTTGTACATGATCGGGTTCAGCTACTCACAACGCTACAGGGGCTTTGGATTCCGAACATCAGCCGTAATGAACAAGCACCGTTCGTTTCTCTCAACTGGCCATTTTATGAAGCTAGTTCCAAATCCTTCCATGCGCTCTGTCTGAGCCTTCTGTACTATCATTGTGGCCAATTATACGTCTCAATTACTCGCACACTGGAGTCAGATCCCTGATAACCTATCTGACCAGGCCACCATAGTCTTGAACCCAAGATATGGCACTATGGCGTTCGCTTCGGAACGCACCCAAAGCCTGCATACATGTTCATTTAGCTACTGGTCTTTATATTCGGGAGACCCTGCATTAGGGGATCTTGACCTGATCACTTGATTTTCCAAAGGGCACCGGACGATAAGCGACTCACGGTCGCTTGCTGAGCCTCTGGGTGGCTCCCGGTCATGACGGCATCTGGGAAGCCCCTTGTGGTCATTGACGAGAGTCACCATGCCGGCATTGTCATTGTTGTTGGGACTTTGGCCCTGATAATGACATTGATCTGCTTGGCTATCCGTGTGTATGTCAGAACAATACTGAGCCCGGGGTTTGGCCGTGATGATTATCTATTGTTTGTTGCTACGGTAAGTTCCAACGTTGTCTCATGTGATAAATTGGCGAAATTGATACTAACCACTGCGTTGAGGACAGACTTTCGCCATTATTCAGACCTCACTCGTCATGTCAAACTCTGCCAAAGGATTCGGGACATCTATAGGGCTTCTTTCTTCGGATCAGGTGGTGAACGTTCAACGGGTACGTTGTCCAGAATCTGGGCAGGGACACGGGTTAATCAGGAATTCTCTCTATGCAGACAACAGCTGCTACAGATACTTTGTTTTTGATCACCGTCTTTCTGTCCAAGTGCTGTGTGCTTGCCATGCTCTCGCGGTTGACTCCCCAGCGCGTTCACCACTTCATTCTCTACGGAATACTTGGCTTGAGTATCTGTTGGGTTTTCTCTTCAATCCTGATCATCCTTGTTAACTGCGAATTGAACAAACCATGGGCAAGACCTATTGACCACTGCACTGGATTGGTATGCATCCTTTTGCTCCATATCACTGCAGTTACACTAACCACACCTCTTCAGTTCCAAAAATGGGAATACATCGGTGCAATGGACAGCATCATTGAGCTCATGCTCTTCCTATTCTCGATCCTTCTCGTCAAAAGCCTGCAAATGCCAACATCTCGAAAAGTCATCGTCCTCTCTTCTTTCGCCGTTCGTTTACCGTGAGCAGTCCCCATCACCCACAAACACTACACAGCTAACCCACTGCCTACACTAGACTCATTGTATTCACCTCTCTACATCTATACCATCTCAAGAACTATGCCTACTCCACGAACCCAACCCTAGACATCATCGACAGCTACGTCTGGACCCAAATGGGCATGAACTACGCCCTCATCGTATGCACCTCCTTCTGCCTCGCCCCCTTCATGCGCGCCATCAGTGTCACCTACGGCAACGCAGGGGAAGTCACCCTCGGCACCAGCAGCGCTAGATCCAAGTCAGGGAAATACGCCCGGGATGTATCGAAACAATCACAGAGCTATGCCTTGCAGTCGATGGATAACCAGGATGAGGCTGGTCACGGCTTGAACAACCCACGACACTCGCAGCCGACGTTTGTGCCGGAGCAATCCGCCGGAAGTTTCAATGCCACTGCTTACGATGGCAGTAGTCGAACGGATGGGGATAGCGTGGCTAGTTCGGAGAGTACGAAGATGATTATTAAGAAAGATGTCGAGGTCACTGTTACTCATGAGCCGAGGTAGTATATAAAAGTTCTTTTCTTTTGTTAGTGTGAGTGATAGTTAGGTTGTTATAGAACAAGTCGTAGACATACATTCGATTCTGGTCTGCTTCTAATATGTCTTTCTTGAATATCACTCAAATATTATTGAATGAAAAGTAATGGCAATGGAAAGTAGTAGTGTGTATTTAGATAACACGATTGCTGACGTTGACGTTCGGTTCCTCTGATGTCATGTCTTATATGTCTTGTTAGAGTATGCATCTATATCTGTTGAATTTCCAATGTAGGTAGGTGTAGCCTGGAGGATGAGAGCCTGAGGCATTAAGCTAGTTATTATGGTGCCTGAGGCAAGAAATTGGTGTCATGAGGCGCAATTCTGGACCTATCCGAAGTAGGTAGAGTGCATGGCTACTTGTTCCTTTTTGAAGGAAGCATGGTAAGATAAAAACTGAGATCTGAGAGATGGAGTAGTATATTTTGGTAGGTAGTTATTACTTCACATGGAATGGAAATAGTAGTATCTATAATACATCGGTAGTTTTTTTCAGTGACAGCGTTCGCTCATCGAAGATGTCGATACATAGTAGGTTAGTTATATGCCATATGCCTGTTTTAGGTGTGCCAAACTGTGTCTGGCAGCGGTGGAGGAGTTGAGATCTGGTTCCACTGGGAGAGAGATATACGCGACGCTGATGCTCCACCTGTTTTGCCAGATGTGCTGCCGCTCTGATCCTATTACAGCATTCGTCATGCTTGTAGTGAGTCCCGGGTTTGACCTCAGTGAGCAGTGTATACCCCGAGACGCAACATCTTATACTCGAACATCTCATCTGATTTGTGAGACTATAGGTGTAGATCAAGCCTCCGGAAGTCCCTTGCTAGGGTCCTGCTTCTGACCCTTCCAGCCGATATAGGGCCATCCCTTGGGAAGAGAAGAGTATGGCGGGAGAACATAGCGGCCAGCGCAATCTCCCTCCGTCGGACAATCCAAATTGCATAGTCCGAATACCTTGCAGTAGCATTCTTCTGCCGTGGGACAGTAGACGGGGCCCTTGCCGAAGATCACTGTACAAGTTGGTCAGTTTTGCTTACCGCTATAATAAGAATTGGAACATACTGTGCCATGAGTATTCCATGATCCGTCCACTGAGATCATCGGGTAACGTCGTCTCAGCCAACCACTTCCGGTACCACACATAGTCACTCTTCGGCCGCTCGCGGATCTTCCAGCGTGTGACGGCGAACTGCGCGCAGCATGAAACCCCCACTTCTTCAGGGACCTCCGCCCCGGGAAACAGTTCCATGAATCCTGTCTTGAAGTACTCGCCTGCGTGGACGTCGTTGCGATGCGTATCACTGAGGGGATGAATCTCCGCCGGACAGCCCAGGACCCAGGCGCAGCGCAGATTCACGTAGCCTTGTTTTTGGAGATATGGGACCTGGAAGTTGCGAAGAACGGGCACACCATCGTAGTAGGGATCGTCGTTGTGCCATTGGTATCGTTGCGAATGGATGAAAAGAATCGAGTCGGGAAGATTGTCGTAATTATCAATTATATATCTGCAGCAGTGAGTTGGTGCGCCCAGAACTGGCCAAGACACGGAGACTCACGTCAGATACACCATCGATTCCCTCCCCTTATTCAAAGCTACCGTCAACGGCGCTTTCTTGTCGTCCGCCACGTAGATGCTTTTATGCCACTCAGGAAAGTATGTGTACAGCCATGAGACATCGTCTCCCTTCATACTAGCCACCACCATGTCCTTGTCCAAGACCTGAGGCTGTCGCGAAGCCGAGGCGGACGGGGAAGCCTTCCCCGACCGCGAATCCCGATGCGGGCCTCCCTTCACCGCATCCTCAGCAGACGTCTCTGAGCGTTTCGGATCGGAGCTCCCAGCGAAGAAGAGGAAGTATAGAGCGTAGATGATGAGAATGGTGCAGAAGATTGCTTTTTCTTGGTTGCGCCGGCGCGGACTGTTAACTCCGCCGCGGAAGAATAGCATGGCTGGCAATGGCGGCGGCGGGACTGGCACGAGGGGGGGGGGGGGGGCAGTAATCATATGCTGCTGGATGTATGTATGTATGTCACGGAAGTCAATTGAACGTCAAATCAGCGTGACGGGGCAGGGAACATGGCTGCACGGATGGACGATCGCAGACGGTCGGGGGTCGGTGAGGTCGATGCGGGCGGCGGTTCGAATGAGTTGACCGAACTCGGGGAGATTTTGCGGCGGCGCAGGATGAGGGTGAAACGTCGGCCGTCGGATGGAATAATATAGGAGAACCACGGAGGCCCCGGAGGCGATCGTTGTTGAAACCCGGGGATGCGACAGCTGGCAGGATGGGAGTTGTGGTGGACGAAAGTAAGGAGAAGAAAGATGATTGATGGCCGCAACTGGAAGTGGAGGAACAGCGCCTCCACACGTGCTTATCTGCTACGTAATGGGATCTCACTTGTGTTTCTCTTTCACCACACCACCACTTGGTTGCTCTGATTATATACTAATTACTATGTACACTTCTCTCGTCACTAATATGACAGTCGGTCTAGTTATAGCAGGCACTCTGAAATCGCGAAAAAGTACCACAAGTGAGCCAAAACGCTCACCGTTGCTTCGCCTGCATTTCCCGCCGTTGAATTGATTCCCTCGATGACTTCAATATCCGACGCCGTGACACTGGCTCCAGTGCCACTGGTGATCCAGTATTCCGGACTTGGCTGACTGAATCCAAAGTCCATGGGTGGCACCCGGGGGACGATGTCGTTCAAGTGTGTAACACGGAAGTTGGCCCCGGATCCCTGACTGGTGATATGTTCGGCCAGCGCATAGTTTCCGATTCGAGGACATCCATAGGTGTACTATTGATTGTCAGAACCGTTTATCGCTCCATCACCTTTGTGAAGAACTCACCAGCTGAACGCTGTACCCGTCATTTCGCAAAACTGTCGCTCCCAGCGTAGCCAATGCGCCGCCCAAACTGTGCCCGGTGAAGTATAGGGTATAGCCCGAATACGTGCTCATCGCGGACTTGATCTTGCTCGTCAGATCGTCGGCAGCGGATTCCCATGCCTTCCAGAAACCAGTATGGACCTTGCATCCGGTGCAGAGGTCGTCGTTATCTTCCAGGATGAAGTCAAGATTAGCAACCCAGTTCTCAATCGTGCTACTTCCCCGGAAGGCGACCACGAGCCGCTTGTTGGTGTTGTCCGCGGCTAGGAAACCGGCTGTGCCTCCAAAGTCGTTCGTCCTGTTCAATTAGCTGTGCTCTATGTCTGCGCTCTGAGTGACATACAGGTCGAACTCCAGGAGCATCGTGGTACTAGCCTCCTCGACCGATGGACAGGCGTTGGCCGTGCATGTCAAGTTGGAGTCATTCGAGTCGATATTATTCGAGCAATAAGCTGCGGCAGACCATTGCGCGAACAATTGCAACTCATCCAACGTGGAAGTCGAGACACCTATTCACCCTTCATCAATGCTATCCAGCCATCTCATATCGGGCACACTTACTCCGCACATCAAGCGGTGCCGGCGCGGCAGTACCCAGCGCAGCAAGCGCTGTCAAAAGCACTCCAAACCGTCCAGAGAACATCTTGCAGTATACAAACAATCGAGGCGACCAAAACCTTGCAATCAACGGGCTTCTGCAATGCACACACACTGCCTCTATCCAACTGCGCCTCCGATCCCCCTTTTATACCCAAATCATATTACCCACCGCGATTCCCCATCAGGGGCCTCAGGGGGAAAAAAAGCAAGAAGCGGGGTAAAGTCAGACAACAACATTCACCCCAACAGCACTATCACGATAGCAGATGAAGCCAGCCATGCAATCAGGCACCGTATCTCCTCATCCGCATCCTTTGTTCCGGGTCGGCGGTTGTCCGTTGCGCAACTGGAGTGCCAGTTTGGCCCCAGCTCCATCCGGAGCGGAAGCCCGGTGGGGATTAACGGGCTGCTATAGCAGGCCGTAGACAAGCATAGTCTGCTCCGAAAAGTTAAATAAAGTAGATGTTGTCTGAGGATGGGCGGTGTCGAAGGGATCTACTGGCGGAGAAACGTGGAGGGCGTGGTACTGCACATGAGCAGTAGATTGAGATGGAGATTGGGATCGGGGATAGGGCCATGACATGTGCACAGGCCGAGGTAAGTAGGCCCCCCAAGTAGAAGAGCAAGCAAACAAATAGACGGGAAATAGTGTTACGAAATCTGAGACTTCTTCACATGCTGCTGCTGTTGCTGTTGCTTGTCAAGTGTTGTGGTTCGTGACATGCAAGTAACTAGTGGAGTTAGTGACTTTCTTGTCACTTTGCCGATCACTTTGCAGCGCTTATACTCATTCAGACTGCGATACATACATACTATAGATGGGGAAGAAGCACACAAACAATCTACGCATGTACAAAAAACTAAACATGTCCACGTGCCCATAATCAATACCATGCATACTATTGAAGAAGTAAGTAACTAACCCTGACAAAAAGAAAAGAAAAAAAAAATACCTCAACTCACTATTGAAACAATACTCTCATCCCTTATTCCCGGCCCCCAATACTACCTTACCTTCCCCAAGAACTCTCACAGTTTTAGTATAGTAATACAAACAATAACCTAGTTATAGTAGAAACATCTCCTATTACCTAACCAAGTCTACCACGTAGTACCTACTTACTCAACTACTAAATCAATCCATTACTCACCTAAAAAGTAATCTCCTCACTTCATCCCGGCACTTACACCACCCACACAGCACTAGGTACTTACTTTGGCAGCCTAAATCACGAACTAATTATTTAGTCCCGCTGCCTTACGAGTCCCCTACTAGTCCTCCTCCTCCACCACCACCACCAACAACAAACGTCCGGGCTTCCCGGGCTGCGGGGTGCATGCCTTAGTATCCCGTACTATAACCCCGGGGTAGTTGGTTAGTTAGTTAGTTAGGGGACGGGAGGACGATGACTCCTTCACTCCTCCTTCTTCTTTTTATTGACCAACCTATTATTACTTAACAAGAGTTAGGGATTGTAGTTGGCTGCTACCTACCTTGCAGAGTTTGTTAGTTTGGCTTGGGTAACCCCACTTCCTCCCTTCCTCCCTCCCTTCCTTCCAATCCATACCGTGTGTGTGCGTGTTGGTTGGAACTGAAGGATTCTTCAGGCTTTTTTGGTGGTTCAATCAATCAATCGGTCAAAATCATTCCGGCTTGTGATCTGCGGTTTGTTAGTGTCGGGGTGGTGTGGCAGGTGACTGACTACCTTGCTATCTTACTATTACTAGTAGCTTTGGTAATTGGGTCTTGGTGGAGGTGAAGGTGTGGGATGGATGTATAGGTACCTGTGGAGTACTTGGCCTAACCTACTGGGGGCTATTAGGTGGTTAGGAGGAGCTGTGGGTGTGTGCGTATGTGGGCAGGTGCCGTTATGTGCCTGTGCTCTCTCTGTCTCCGTATCTAACTGTGGTTCCGTGGTATCGGGGATTTTTGTACCAGTGATATTAGTAGCATGGTGTCTCTGGCTTTACTGCAAGTACTTGACAGATGGAGCTATCGATATGCACAGCAAAAGTGGTATCTGCTCAAAGGATATATTGACCGCTACCTGCATAGCTAATTAAAGAACAACAAGTGAAATGATAATGTGATAGAATGAAACAATCAATCTTCGCTCCTGGAACGCCAACCAGACACACATCACGTCTTTTGCATAGCATAGAAGAGAAAACAAAAACAAAAAAAAAAAAAAAGGAAAGAGAGAAGCAACCCTCGGAAGAGGAAAAATTCCCGAGCTGATCAGCAGGGGTCCGATCCAATCCGGCCAGGTGAACTGTCTCATCACCGCCATCCTTCGTCGGGGAATAATCGGAATAACAGCTCATGCCGGTTGAGTTCAAGACATGACAATACTCTCAACTACGCACTAGCCCCATTCTCGCCCTCTCCAGATGGGTAATCCGTCATCCCCTCATCCTGTCCATCACCGCTGTCCCCGGCCAGCACCTTCGTCCGGGGAATCTGATGATCCGGCAAGGGCGTGCCCGGCGTCGCGGCAACCACGTTGTCGTTCTCATCGACGAACTCAAAGTTGTATCTCGACAGCAAGTGCGGGATGGCCGAGAGCTGCGGGCCATACCGGGCCGTGTTGTCGTATAGTTCGAAGAGTGGGACGGCGAGGAGCTTCATGTTCTTCGGGACAGAAAGGACCTCTGCACAACACATGTTAATCAGACCATTCTTCCCTTTTCACCCGCCACTGTTATTCATATGTGGGGGATGAAATTCTTACTCTTCTTCGGCAACTGAATGAAATACAACTTCTTGCACTCCTTCGGCCGAGTCACATGTCCCGGCAGGAACGGGTACATGAACGTCTCAAAGTTCGGCCTCCACCATTGCGCCAACGTGTCCCCAATCTCCCAGTCTTCGTTCACGCCTTCGCCCGAGAACTGCGAGCCGACGGGCGCGAGACGCTCATTGAGCCGTTTCTTGAAGCCCTCGACTTCGTCGTCTTCGAAGTTGAGGTAGTCACCGGGACTAGAGACCAAAAACAATGTAAGTAAGAAGCACGAAGCTTCACAATCCACATGGTATGGAAACGCACAGCTTGAAAAACGCGTTGGCAATCTGCAGCATCAACACATGAGGATGGTTGTGTTCGTGGCAGACGAGGACACCCTCGCAGGTGCGTCTCATGCCATGTAGGTCGTAGTGCTCCTCGAGACGTTTTAGACGCGCCAGCACGGACGGATCCTCCTCCGGTTGGGTTTCCTTGGTGCCGAATGTGTAGTTGGAGAGGGGGTACAGGCGGATTGTTTTGGGTTGTTGCGCGGAGAAGTCTTTGGGGATGATGGGGCTATTATTCAGGACATGGTCAGTGGTGAATGCGTGGAGAAGGAAGCGGTAGTGAGCTAGGTCGGTGGCAGGACGTACGGGCGCGAGCTTTGGATCGCCGTCGCGGTGGTGGTCGACATGGTGAACGCAGGGGAAGCCAATGCGCCGCGAGTTAACAGGCTGGAGGAGTCGAATGCTGGATACGTAGCCAGGAAGTCAAGAGCGGCTGGAGCTCTCGGTGGTGGATCGGCGATGATGGCGGAGCTGGGCTCGGCGTCGGAGCGGCCCTCCCGCGAAAACATTCGACCGCCCCGATGCTCGCCGTGTGAGTCTATTAGTCTTAAGTCTACAGTGTAGCTTCCATAGGAGTAATAGTGGAATCATCATATGATTTATTCTTTGCTGATTCTATTCTCATTTATCAGAGTAGATCTAACTCAAATAACAACCTAACCCCAAACACAGCCCCATCCCTCCCATGCAACAAGCCCACGCCAACTATGCAAACCCAACAATACAACATCATGTCTATCAATGCGACGGACTTCCGCCCCAACATCCAACTCAATCATGAAGTCTAAAGCTTGGCGTCAAAGTCTTCGAATTCGCTCAGATCAGTTACCGGGCTGGGTCCAGCACTGACGGCCAGACGAGCCTTGAACTCGGGGACATTGTTGATGTAGGTAGACTGCTGGAGGTCACCGTTCGTGCCATCTGGCTGGACTGTTCCATCACTCTTCTTAGCCTCGATGCCCGCTTGCTTCAATTGCAAGCCCAGGCTGCTTTCGATCTGCGCGATGACGGGCTTGGTCTGCTGCTCGGAGAGACTCATGCCAGATTCGAGGAACGCCTTCAGAGTGGCCAGAATTTGAGCCTCGTCGCCGCCCGACACGTCGACGGTCGCAAAAGCAGTGCTCAGACGTTCCTGGTCAACAGCGAAGCCAGCCGCCTCCAACTGCTTGCCGAGGAACGAAACGACCTGGTCCTTCTGCTCCTCAGGCTTGGTGGCGTGCGCATGGGCACCGGCCTGGGCTTTGAGGTGAATCGCCAGCTTAGCCCGAGTCGCGGACTTGGGGTAGACGAATTGCTGGTAGAACTGGATGAGGTCGGCCTTGGTCAACGTCCGGACATTCGCAGCATCACTTTCGTTCTGCACGAAGTCGAAGTATTCCGAGCCGATATGGGACCAGAACCGATTGGTCTCAGAGCTCAAGTTCTTAAGCTTCTCCAGCCGCTTGTTGATAACACTGCGCTTGTGGCTCTCAAACTCTTGCTCTGACATGTTCGCCAGACTCTTCCCGAAACCGGTCAGGAAAGCGTCGATGCGAGACTCGAGATAAGCAGCATTGCGCTCACTCTGGATGATCACACGGTAACCCATGGTCGTTGCAGAGTAGCGGGCGCCACTCCAGACAACATAACCAAGCTGCTCCTTGCTCCGCAGTTGGTCAAAGGCAGGCTCATCCGTCATCTGAGCAAACAGCAGCAGCTTGGCCCGCAGAGCATCGTCGTCAAGCTTTCCAACGAACAGGTAGTATTCAATGCAGTGGTTAACGTTGGCGGGATCCTTCAGGGCACGCTCGTAGACATAGTTGGCGCCGGGGGGAAGGATCATGTTGCGTCGAACGTGCCACTGCGATTCGGGCAGCGCACGGCTCTGAAGAGTCGACTCCACCAAGTCGGTCATGCGCAGCGCATCCTCCTTGTACAAGTTACCGTGGGCCAGGACCTCGATGTGATTCTGGCGAAGAAGTTGAGGGAAGAAGCATGAAACGTCCTCTGCCTCGATGTGTACCAGCTCAGCGGCATACTGCTCGTTGAGCCACGTCCGTTCGGCAGTCAAGTAGCGCGTGTAGTCGCCAACCTGATAGAACGGTTGCTGGTACTCTGCGTTCTTGTAATTCCGAGTCATACGCTCTTTGATGATGTTGAAACGATCCGGTTTGATGACCAGGTCCCGCATACTGGTCAGCACCTTTTCAAGGAGAACCGACATCTTATCATTGTATCCGCCAACTGAGATATCAAGGCCGAAGAGGCTGGCAGACAAGGAATAGTCCAGACCCGCAAGCTCAGCGTCGTAGGAGTACTCGTTCAGAGCGTCGCGAACCAGCTCGCAGTAGAACTTAGTCTTGACCAGATTTGCCGGGGTAGCATACGCCAGGGGATTCCTCAGGGTGACATGAACAGTCGCCTTGGGGACCCAGAAACGGTCATCCTTCTTGTACCACAATCGGACATGGTCATCATGACGGATCAGCTTGGGGGTCTTGGCCGGCTCAGACACCTCCTTCTTCTCCACAGTGAGCCTGGTAGGAACGAACTCGTTCTTGTGTGGAATGTGGAGCTCGGACAGTCTACTCTCGGGAGAGGTCTCCGCAGCCTTGCGGATGCTGTCCATGAAGTCTTCCGGAATATCTTCGACCTTGTACTCAGTTCCGTACCATTTCTCACGGCAGTTCCAGTCACCGGGGTAATCCTGGGCAACAATCACCATTCTGAAGTTATCGGGTCGCAGGTACGACAACGCCTTCTTGACCAGCTCGGGTTCGAACTTCCGCAGAAGGTTGCCGCTGAGAAGCCATTCTCTGGGGTAAGGCTTCTGCATCACGCTGCTGAGGCGACTCGTGAAGCGACTGGCAGGGGACTTTTGCTTGAAACGGAACTCGACTTCGGCCAGGTTCTTCATTTCATCGAAGATCCACTGCTGGGGCTCGCGCTCCTTGATCATGCCGATGTATTCAAACACCACCTTGGTGACCTCACGATACTGTTTCAGACCCTCGGGAGTCAGCCGAACGGAGATGGTGAAGAAGGCGGAGCCCGGGCAGACAGGCATCACACCTGCGGACAAGCCGTTTGCCCAACCCTTCGCTTTGATGTAGGCCAGGATGCTGCCTGGACCTTCATGGCCGATCAGATGGCTAAGATAACGGCTTGGTTGGGATTCGAACAACGACTCTTCATCCATGAAGGGAAAGTATAAGTCGAGCGAGCGCATATCCATGACTGGTTTGGCGAAGATCTGTTTGCCCAGATGTTCCGGTAGGCAAGGTTGAACGTGGTCCCAGCGGTTCTGAGGAAGATCTTGGTTCTTCACATGCTTGAACAAGTCACCCACCCACTGCTCCATTTCATCCAGAGAGTCCCGTCCCAACACCACCAATTTCATGATGTTGGACGAATAGTGCGCCTGGTAGAATTTGATAAACTCCTGTCGGACCTCCAGCCCCCGCTTTTGCGGCTCCTCTTTCAGAGTCTGCAGGTTCCCGGTCGAGAAATGGTGGTACGGGTGGGCAGGGTTGGACAAACTCTTGTTCAATTGCATCAACCGCCACAGGTCGCTCTGCAGGTTCTTCTTATTTTCCGAATCTACTGCCTGCAGCTCGCGGTCCAAGGTCGACTCGAGGAAAAGGGGCTCTACGAAGAACTGCGCAAAGCGATCCAGAGCACCATACAGGGGAGACGTGGGGTGGTTCGGCTTTGCGGGTGTGTCTGTGCCGTTCGATGTTCCATTGGCGCCGTTAGGTGTGTCGTCAGTAGAAGCCGTGGTGGCACCGACCTCAAAGAAATAGTTCGTCTCGGTGGCTGCGGTATAGGCGTTGGAGGAACCGGAGTTGGATGCTAGGTACTGATTGTAGGCATTCTCCTTGGGATACTACACAGAGTTAACATGTTTCCGCAAAAGCCCAAACGGACAAGGGGTCTCGTATTCCGAGGGTGACCACCTACCTTCATCGTTCCCATAAAAAGCAGATGTTCTACCGCATGCGCCATGCCCGGCATGTCGTCTGCGTCTGAAAAGTTGCCGACATTGACATTGACGGCCGCACTAGCCTTGTCTGTGTCGGGATCATGTACGAGAAGAGCCTCTAGTTTGTTCGGCAGGCGAATGACACGATAGGAGCGATCATCGAGCTCGGGCTTCTCCAACTGCTCAGCGAGGCGCTCGATAGATCCCATGGTTGCGGTATGAGAGAAGAGGCGAGCACAGGAAGGGAGGGAAAGCGAGACAAGGGCGAGAGACGAGCGCAGGGCAGGAGATGAGGAGTAGCGCTCGTTCGGTGTGGGGAAGCGTGGCGAGGGGTAGATAGAAGGAGGGGCAATCGCCGCAGAGGCGCCTGACTTAGAGAAGGCGCGAAAAGCTGGGGAGCGAAGATATAAAGGCACTCGAGAGTTCCACAAGCGGCGTGTTGCAGGGGACCTTGGAGGCATCCAGAGAAAGGAGGGATCGGTTGCCGGGAAGCACCGCTCGGGGCGCAGGCGGTGTTGGGGAAAGTTGCCGGCGTGAAAGTGAAAGGGGTAAGGGAAGTCCCGTATTTGAAATTAGCAGTTTGAGAACTAAACAGAGCAAATGGGGGTTAGCAGAACGCCACGTAGGAAGAGGTGAAGGGCAAGCGAGGCAATTACCGGGGGTCAATGGTCGAAGTATATCTTGTGGCACGAAGGAGGGAGAGTGACTTGTCGGTGGGTTCCTCGGCGGGAGGCGATGCACAATGCATGGCTTGGGGCTTACTAGGCGGTGAAGCCCCGCGATAAGGCGGTCAACGTGGGATAGTACTTCATTGCATATTGTCTTTGCCAGTGAATTGGTTACTCTTTTACTACTGTGATGTGAGTTTGATCTCTAAAGATATTCTGCTTCTTTATTGAACTGCAACGCCAACTCCTGGTAGCTGGTCTTTCACTTGGGGGCTATTAGTGTCACTACTAGTACTACTGCTTCTATATATACCTCGGCAACTCCGCAGCTGGATATCTTCAATGCCAGTGCAGATTTTAATTATCAGTCTACATTGAAATTCATGAGTCCAAGGATTCAATCTCGAAGTAATAACAATTTTCCCGTGAACTAATATTAACTCTTCTACGTGTTGCTCAATGGTAATTGTCTAGTATCTTCACCTAAATTCCATTGTTTCCTCTTATCGAGTATATCTAGTCGACTACGGCGAACACCTGTTCACTACATAAATAGATGCATGCAGCAACTACAAAAACATTAACAAATACGCGAGGATACCTGTAGTAAATTAGCCATCTTGCCCTACCATATCGTCATCAGCACACTGATTGGCTCTCATACAGGCATGCTTCACTGAGAGCTAGACCGTATATTCACTACTTCATATTTATTTATATATGTACCGGACCGTGACACAGCTTTCAATTTCCAAAAAAAAAAAAAAAAAAAAAATTACTATCATGTAATATAAGCTTGCCCTACTCTATACTAAATCCCCATGAACATGACATGGCATACAATAAATAGATTGAGCTAGTGACATAGTACCTACACACACTCCTCCAGACATCCCACAATCAATCCACAAGTCAAGACAAACAACAACATCACATTAAACCCCCAATTACCCTAATCATCCCTGATTCTCGATTTGCCACTCTAACCCCCTCACCCTCAACCTAACAATCCATCCCAACCTAACAACTATCCGCACAAACCGTCAGAACCTCATCCGCCTCATCCTGACAACTCCTCACAACACTTCCAGCAGGGGGCACACCCCCAGCCCAACAAATACTCTGGCAGCTAGGATCACTCGAGACGAGACTAACCACACTGCCCGAGAACGGATCGCCATAGACATCCGAGATATCATAAAACACGTTACCGGAGGACGTATCCAAAGTGTAGGCGTAATCCGTCTGCGGAGCGCCGCTGTACAGACCGTTCTCCGTGGTGGTGATCTTCAGGGCGACGCCGCCGGAGGTCGTATCGTAGTAGAAGGTCTCGCTGTAGCTGGAGCCCGGGTCGATGGTTTGCATGCTGCTGACGGAACCGCCCACGGACCAGAGGTAGATCGGGGAGGTGCAGTTGTTTTGCACGATGGCGGAGCCAGTGGCGGTGGTTAGGGGGAGGAGGGGGAGGAGGGAGAGGAAGGTTTTGGTGGTGAGATGCATTTTGGTTTAGTGGTTTGAGTGGATTTGATGGGAGGTGTTGTTGTGTGGATTGTTGGTTGGATGGGATAGGATTTGGATGGAGGGAGGAAGGGTGGTTTATATGTCTATTGGTTTTCTAGTCTGTAGACATAGCTACTTGTATTCATGGAGAGAAGAGAATAATAGCAACTACATCATAGCAAACACAATCATCCCACCTATCAAAAACAAAGACATAGGCATAGGTCATAATGTCTCACATCTCCTCCCCATCCCCATTGCCAAGTACATTAGCAGACCACCAAATGCATTAGGCAGCGTATAGTACCACCCCATAATAACACCCACATTTATTCCAATCGAACATTACCGAAGCGCAATCCTCAATGAATCAACTGACCTAGACTAAAACCCAACCAATGGATTCCATCTCACCGCTTATATTCAGGCGTCCCATAGATTAAGCCTGCATTTATCTTACCATTGAGTAGAATGTGTAGGAGGCTCATTTCAGTCCCGTCCGATCCGTACATATGCAATTATAGGAAGTATTGCAGTGCGGCTTACCCCGCGGGGTTCGTGCGTGAGACATTAGAGTTACATTATGTGAGAGAGAGAGAGAGAGAGAGAGAGAGAGAGAGAGAGAGGGATAGATGCCTATGGCTAAATTTACTATTGTGTATGTCATGGTCAGGTGCATAAGTAAGCACATAAGCAGCGTGATGTCGGATGTAAGTCATAATAGGTATCACGATCCAATCATGAGATTCGGCTGTGGAGGAGTCATGGATGAACTACTCATGTATGTCTCAGTTCGGTTGCGGAGATTCGGATGATCGGATGGGGTTTCCTTGGCAGGAGATTAAGTAGTCAGCGGGTGTGTCTGCAGGTTGTTCGTATTGCAGTGGGTTCTAGTTAGTGAGTGAGATAGCATTGTTTTGGAGTCGGAATATATTAATATGATATTGATGGGAGGCCTTGCGTGGGTTGGATTTATTGTTGTATGAGGGGTTTCTGGATGGATGTGGTTATGGTGTTCTGCGGCAGCCTGGACTACAATGGATGGGATGAAGAACTGTTCTTCCTGCCCGGCACACTAACAAATTCAGTTATAGGGCTACCCTATAATTAGTGTGGGATATGTGAACAACGACAGCGGAATGCCTTATCATGAAGTATGCTTAACCAGTACCCTGCATCTCTACTAGGTAACAATTGCAATGGTCATCCAAGACACAACCGAACTTCCCACCTATGCATAGATCCAACACAAACAAAATTACAGCGCGCACTCGACTTAAGACCTCGCTTAGCTCGGCACCGAACGGGGCTCCGCCTGGTTCTCTTTCGTCGGGGACCGGCTCTTCGACTTGGGCTTCTTCTCATCCTCCGTCTCCTCGCTATCTTGCACGTCCGCACGCTCGGAGATCCATTGGTATACCTCCTCTTTGTGGTGCATGAGCATCTCACTCAGACTGGCTTTGGGTGATTGGACAAGCTGGCCGTAGCGCTTGGATGGCTTGCGCCGAGTCTCCACGTTGTTCCAGACGCCGTGCGTGTGCGAGACGAAGACAAGGGAGTTCTAGTGGATGTGAGTATATAATGAAAGGATTTGAAGGGATCGGTCGGCTTACATCTTTGTACCACCGCGACAGCCAGACCTGGGTGTGGGAGGCTATGGCGCGAACCGGGTTCTCGGCAACGAAGGAAACAACACTGTTCACACGTTTATACAATGTTTCTGTTTACACATCAGCCGCTGCCTCCTTTTCGAGCAAAATAACTCACCTCGGTTGATCAGTAGGTTGGCTACTCCGTAGAAAGCATTCCCTACGCCCATGAAGAAGATTTCGGTGGCCTCGCTCGGTCTGCAATTGTCAGTTTCAGGCTGCCTGTTGATAATCTCGGCATCACTAACTCAATATAATTATCCCACAGGTAGCCCGCCAGTTCCTCAGTAGCTGTGGGCCGATTTTCGTCTTCTTCCTCATATTTACCGGATGACTGTATGGATCAGTACTCATTCAACAGCTGATATAGTCACCGAGCTTACAGGATCGATCGTCACATGCTTAGGGATATTAACATCGATGACTGCATACCCCTTGCTGACAGTCCACCCAATGTATTCCTTCATGACATCAGCCTACTACTGTCAGCATATGTGCAATATTATGGCGCAGACACATACCAGCCAGCAGTTATGGGCTTCCAACTTGTTGGTGACCGGATGGGGCAAACCCATGATCTCAGGACTGCGTATGGTTAACTAAACGCTTGATTTGCCGACAATTCATCGGCAGCGAACTCACGGATCATGAAATATCACTACAAGTGGCACGGGTTGGTGATAGTTGGGGCTGCATGGAGTTAGCGGAGCCAAACTCGTTGTGGTTCTACTTACCTTGCTAGAACCTGATTTTCGAAAGACCGGGAGATGGCAGTACGATATATGAAGAGAGATGTGAGCTTGTAGTTGTCGTAAAGTTGTTTTGACTGGTAAGCGCGTATAACATCTGCAGAAGTTAGTATTGCCGGGTAAGGGGTGCGGGATCTTACCATGAAGCCTATCGGTGAAGAGCCCATCCTGAGGAGGTCCTTTAGGGTACATGCAGTGCCAGTAATGCGACTGGACCATCATCACACGCCGTACAGTTGTGGTGGCCAGAGCTGAGGGTGAAGTGGTATGAAGTCGGTCCGGCGGGTCTCCCATCAGCGTCTTTGTGACAGCGAGTGCTGACTTGGAGATAGACCTAAAGTTATAACCACCCTATCATTTGGTTAGCCTACAATTCTCAACGACCTCTGTGTGCGCATACCTCGAGACAAACAGCAACCTTGCCATTAGCAAGCGTCATGAGCATGTGTGTCATGTGAGCGTAGCACGAAGGTGTAACGAAACATCCACCAAGCTCGTCGCCTGCAGCCGCATCAAACCCAGAGGCAACTGATCCATGTTAGAGATACACACCCACTACTCGAGTCCTTACGTACCGATGACAAGGTCCGGGTTGAACTCATGAGCAATTGGCATGACAACTTGTTGAAAAGCATACATATAGTCACCATCGCCCATTCCTTGGCTCGGCCAGGGTATATTCACGTTTCTGAAGATGTCAGACAAGTTTTCGCATAACAGAAATCTAGCAGCCTACCTTCCAACACCCGGGCCTTCGCCACAGTGATCCCAGTCACCTTCTTCCCCTCCAGGATAGAATTTCCCATCCTGATACACATGGAGTGAGATGTATAGGATATTAGGGTCATCATAGAAAGCTTTTTGAATACCATTTCCTAGAAGAGTGAGTCAGATGCTTTCATTTCATGCGTAATATGAGCCCCTAATTACCGTGATGCACGTCCCTAGTCGGTCAGTATCTCCGCAGATTGAAGTGAAAAGGGCTAAGCATACCAGTCGAGAATCAAAATCTTTCTGCAGCTATCACCCAGTCGATTCTGACAAACACGGGCTGCTACGGAGACATTATTGAACAGACAAAATCCCATAGTTTTGTCGTGCTCGGCATGATGCCCCGGAGGCCGGATCACCGCAATGGCGTTCTTGACCTTCCGGGTTGCAACAGCCAAGCATGTCTCAATCGCGCCTCCAACTGACAGAATCGATGATGCAAATGTCAATTTATTGAAGTATATCGAGTCACGTGTGTGTTCCAATGCAATGAGCTCATCATCAGACATGTCTGTTAACCGTTAGAGAACCAGAACATGAACCAGAACCTGAAAGACAATGAACATAGGTCTACCTTTTGTGCTTTCTACGAATGCAAAATGGTCAGGCGTATGAATCAGCGAGATCTCCGCTTCAGTAGCATTGCGAGCATTGATGCGCTTCAGCGGTCGTGAGACAAGCGGACGGCACGATTCGGGATCATCGACTAGTCCCGCTCGACAAAGTTCCTTGTAAATGTAGTAGATGCGTCGCGGATCCTCTGGATGAACGTCCGCTGTTGGCCGCACTTCACAGTGATAACGCATCTGAACGTCATAACATAACCCAGAAGGAAGTGAGGCGATGGGAAGCCCAGTGCGGGCTACAGTATCCTCATCAGACCAATCCGAGTTGTCCTCGACAAGACTATCTTGCTTGTCAAAGTCTTCAGTAGTGGCGTCGCCAGAGTCTGACTTGGGCAGGCTTTTAGGTGGCGATACTCCCTGATCTTCTGCCGATGCTGTGTTCTCAGGCCTCGGGTCTCCCGAGTGTACAGACAACGGCAGCTTCATGGTCGGACCCAGCAATGGCGGTGCAATAGATGGATCCGAGCTACCATTGAGCTGGCCAGCACCCTGGCTGCTGGGCCCATTGCTTGGCCATTGATGTGAAGAAACAGAGGTGGGGTGGTGGGAGCCTGCCTCTCCCATGACGGTGTCTTCGTCCTCATCCATTGCCATGGATATTGGATGTGTGAGAGCGCCTAGTTTCTTCCTGACTGATGATTTACCAGTGCGCAAATGTCATGGTCAAATGCGCAGATTAGAATCAGATAATGTTCACTAGACGGTGGAGTTCCGCTCAAAAGTAACACCGGGAATACGACGAATGCAGATGACCCAAGGCACAGGTGGCAGACAAGTGAGAGATAAGTAAGAGATTAGACTAAGTTGGTCGGGGTTGGAGCCTTGCGAACCAGCACACAAGCAGAACCGAGGTCGCTGTATGGAGAGTTGAGAGAGCACAAAACAAGGGAACTAGTAGATAGTACTAGGTCCGAAGCTCAGAGGCTCAGCCGCGACAACGACCAATGCAAGGAGGACCAGGCCGTATCAGAAGAAAGTGAAAGCGTCGCAAAATACAACTTGAGGCCAAGTCTAAAAGGGCCACGGGTGGCTGTTGGTACGGTAGTCACCGCAACGCGCACACCAGCATAGGAGATCTGGTCCAGGAGTCTTGGATCAATGTAGCTCTAAAATCCGTGGTCGAGCTGCCCTCCACGTGACTTGGATGGCCGCAGACACCCCTCGGTCCACCCAAAAGTACCAAGTGAACCCTCAAGAAGGGGATATGGAGCTCGTTTTGTTTCTTGAAGGAGGTGACGAAAATCTGCAATGACTGGGATGTGGCATGGACCAAAAGCCCGAGGTATCATCCTTCTTGCACCGCTAAAAACCGCCGAGAAAATGCCGCGGCTCGCCGAAGTCGATCAAGCATACGCATTCCAATTCACTGCAGAGCTTAGTCACCACCGCAGCATTGCATCTGGGGCCGACGTTATCAACCGGTGCATGCTGAGAACTACTACATTGCCAATGCTACCAGGCCTCTCCCTACGAAATTAGTATGCCGTCGTGGACATCTTACGTGCTGACCAAGGCCGGAATTTTGAACGTGAAATATGAACATTGTATCATTTCATTAAATTGTACGTCATCATGAGCTTTTACGCTAGGAGGTAAGACCTTCTCAAGCTTCCCCATACACACGGTTCCGCGAGAGTCGTCTGCGCTCGGCAATCAGTCTCACTCACAGCACACTTCTGAATTCAGCTTGCCGTCCTGATTCCTACTGGGAGTCAACCTTGGAGATGTAGGCTAGAAGAAAGGTTAGTAAAATGTCACAGATATCTGAGCAGAGAATAAGATGTCCTTACCAATGAGGTCGACAACACGGCGGGAGTAACCCCACTCGTTGTCGTACCAGGAGACGAGCTTGACGAAGTTGGAGTTAAGGGCGATACCGGCCTTGGCATCGAAGATGGAGGAGTGGTCGTCACCGTTCAGGTCGGAGGAGACGATGTCGTCCTCAGTGTAGCCGAGGATGCCTGTAAAAGGATTAGTTATCGAACCAGACGGTGTCATTTTAACGTAGAAACTCACCCTTGAGCTCGTTCTCGGAAGCATCCTTGAGGGCCTTCTTGATCTCGTCGTAGCTGGTGGCCTTCTCGAGGCGGCAGGTCAAGTCGACAACGGAGACGTTGGAGGTGGGCACACGCATGGCCATACCAGTGAGCTTGCCGTTAAGGGTGGGGATGACCTTGCCGACAGCCTTGGCAGCACCGGTGGAGGAGGGGATGATGTTCTGGGCCGCAGTACGGCCACCACGCCAGTCCTTGCTGGAGGGGGCATCGACGACCTTCTGGGTAGCGGTGTAGGAGTGGACAGTGGTCATGAGACCCTCAACGATGCCGAACTTGTCGTTGATGACCTTGGCGAGGGGAGCAAGGCAGTTGGTGGTGCAAGAGGCGTTGGAGAGGACGTTGATGTCCTTGGTGTAGGAGGTGTTGTTGACACCCATGACGAACATGGGGGCATCAGCGGAAGGAGCAGAGATGACGACCTTCTTGGCACCACCCTTCAAGTGAGCGGCGGCCTTCTCCTGGGTGGTGAAAACACCAGTGGACTCGACGATGTAGTCAGCGCCGGTGGTACCCCAGGGGATGGCAGCGGGGTCACGCTCAGCGAAGAAGCGGATCTTCTTGCCGTTGACGATCAGACCCTCCTCGTAGGTCTCGATGGTGCCCTTGAACTGGCCGTGGGTGCTGTCGTACTTGAGCATGTAGGCCTATTGCAGATTCACTTCGTTAGCCACTTGCTTCTTGTTGATATGTAGCAGACAAGGCATGAGGCAGAACGTACAGCATAGTGGGTCTCGATGAAGGGGTCGTTGACAGCAACGACGTCAACCTCGCCGTGGTTGATGCTGTGCAGCCAAACATGTCAGTATAACGTTCTCGCAATGTCGATTAGACTCCATGGGTCCCAGATAGGACGCATCGAGTTACGGTGAAAGACGGTACTCACGCGTTACGGAAGACCTGTACACTCATGTTAGTCTCTACCACCCGGAAGCAGTAATGAGGGAAGAGCAACTTACGATACGTCCGATACGACCGAAGCCGTTGATACCGACCTAAATGGCATTGATGTCAGTATACAAGATCATCAGGCTGGTAGATAGCTGAACCACGCCTGGTAAGTCGTTGGCGTACCTTGGGAGCCATTGTGTAAATGTGTCTGTTCGGCGGGGTAATAGGTCAGTCAAAGCTTCGTGATGTAATGAGAGGAGGGGAAGCTGGCAGAGAGGGAGATGATGTGAAATATGCAAAGCCAGATAGCTTGGGGGAAGACTCACTTGGAGATGAATTGGATGGAAAGAGGACAGATGTGATGAGGAGAGGATGGATGAAGAAGAAGAAGAAGAAGAGAGAAAGTAAAAGGGAGGAAGGAAAAGTTCAGCGGCGGGGGAGGGGAAGTAGAAAAAGGGTAGAGGGGGAGGGAACCTCAGGACTGACGCAACGACCAGATCAGGCCTTCTGCTGGGTCCTCCGCTCCTGGAGGAGGTACAGATGCCGCGCCCAGTCGAATGCGCACACCGGGGAGACAGACGGGGCAAAAGCTACCTGAGCTCTGCCACGGCATGAAGATGGGTCAATTGTCAGCTGGGATTCCCGGCTTGCGCCGCTCCCCAGTTCCCCAGCAGCCCTTTCCGGTTTCATACACCGGGCAAAGCAGGAGACTCACGATATTTGGATCTCCTGCTCCCCCTCGGCAGCTGCCGTACCGACCAATGAGCGTGTTCCCCCTCCATCACGCCGGGTACTCACCCTTCACTATCTCGATTCTCGAGAATATTTTGCCAGTTCGTCGGGTTCAATTGATACCTACTACCTAGGTTATACGGAACTCCAGCTCGGGACAACGGGTCTATCCCCCGGGTTTTTGTTACGATCCTACCCGTAGACTGCCGCGGAGGCGAGGAATTGGACGGGATGAGATGATGTAATAGAATCGGCCCATCCATACGGAGTAGAGTCATATACCATAGTAGTAGTATTTACTAGGTAGTCAGTTGTTATTATTATTATTATTATTATTCACTCCAGAAAATACTGCTAACTACTAACTACTCTTCCAACCCAAAAAGAGGGGCAGTGCCGGCCTTGCCGCTTTCGGCCCGTGATCCCGGTGATGGAATAACGTTAGTCCAGTACCCCTCCATGTTGGAGTCGCGTGGCTGGACCCCAAAGGCGGTACCTACTCCTTCCCCATTCTTAGTATTCTGGCCCCTCTTGGGTCTCTCCCGTCACCCAAATCAATTCACCGGAGTCCTCACCGGTCATCACGCGCTTGGTCATATTTTTTTTTTCTCTCCTTTTTGGAGCGGGATGAGTGGGATGATGGCTCCAACGGTTCATCTCATTCGGCCGGGCGCGCGTCTAATTGCTTGAAAGCTACGGATCCATGGGGGGGGGGGGGCATAATGCATACATATTATTGCTGAGGGTACCCATGTCGGTGATGCTCTGGCCTCTTCCAAATACTTCAAACCAAATGGACGAATCCGATATGTCAGATGCATGATAACGGATGCATGTGGCTTTGATTTGGGAATTAACTGGCTGGGACTTTTCTTTCTTTTCGGTACAATAACATCAGTGGTACCGTAGCATAACTATCTATGGCCGCCTAAAGGCCGCGCACCAAGGTTTGTCCCTACATACTAAGTATAATTGCACGCCACATCGGTGTGCTCGGATTTATTCAATTGGCGACATCCATGACTTGGGAGTGTAACACAACTCCAAACGGCTCTGGTTTGACTCGGGTTTCATGATCATGCTGGCGTGTCAATGTCCAGGGTCGCGGAGACCGGAAGATGGTTCTAGTACTTTCTACATATTGCTGAAAAGTGGCCCCATCCAGCCTCCAGCCTTACATGGGGTAAATGCACCAGGTTACTTCGAGCAAGTGACACCGTGTGGCCACAGCCCGTATTGCTTAGAAATGCCTTCATTGTCTTCACCGGCCACCGATGTTGGTATGTCAGGAGACGCAAGCCGTGAGACAACAAAGCATCGGCAGGTACTTCGCCACTCATCATCGTGTCCGCTCCTACCTGGTTGGGAAGCCATAGCGATCAGGGATTTCTAATTATCTATTCGCCCCTTGACTCATGCTGCGACATGGGAGAATATAGGACATGAGGTCACCACTGACGTGGTTCTATTATATTGATAGTAAGCGGTCATTGCGAATGATATCGACAACATGCATAGTCATAAAAAGTCTCCCATCACAGCAGCCAAGAAAGCCAGTGTGAAGCCAGAAATGCGCAAATCCAAGGTGAATTCGCGCTCACTCCATTGAAACCACATCTATAAATACACAGGAGGCAAGGCCTAGCAATGTCTCTCGCGCTCCTTCCCCAGAATCTGTCACCTTACTCCTCCTTGACACCACCCCTCCAGTTCTTCTCCGCGTTCTCAACGGAGGCCTTGTCGCTCTTGATCTGGCCCTGGTTCAGGAAGCTGTTGTTGGCCTTGAAGGGGCGCTGGAGGTCACCGGTCGCAGGCTTGCCGAAGACGTGGATCTTGACCAGGTTCGACTCGAAGGCACCCTTGAGGGGGATGATGGACTGGATCAGGAGAGGGTTGGTGTACTTGAAGTAAAGGTGCATCACACCCATCATACCCACACCCATCAGCTGGCTCCTCATCAGCTGGCGCAGCTGTCCCTTGTCGTACTCCATGTTGGTAGTGGTGACCGGCTTGGGCTCCTCGCCGCTACCCATAGGAGAAGGCTCCACGTATTTCAGGGTAGTCAGATCTGATCATAGAGTATTAGAGGACTGTAGCTTAATGAAGACTGAATAGAAAGCATACCATTCTTTTTGTTGATCTTCGACTGAGTGTACAGATACACTGCCAGAATGATCACATTGGACAGGATGTACATGCCACGGACCAGCATAAGGACATCGGGGTCCTCGAAGGGAACCTTCTTCGCCAGCTGCATCATCACCACGATGATGGCCAGGTTGGTACTGCAAGACAGGCGACATGTCAGTATTATTCCCCGAGTAGCATCACGACATGGCAGACCATGGTCGTTTGAGTCGCGTGCAGAATAACGCAGGAATCACTTACACTTGAGGAGACACCATCTTGCCGGTAGTACTGGGACTAGGGAGCCTTGAGAAGTGAGGAGCAGCACACGATGATGTGAAACTGGGGAGGATGGGGAACGCGTGCGCAAGGACAGAAACTTCGAACTGCGGAACTGGAGCCCCGGGGAAGTCGGACAGCTGTCCAGATAGTGAGGATCACGTGCTTGCTCTTGACCTCTCTTGGCTTAGCCGTATCAGTGTAAGGCGTGAGGGAAGATAGCGGCGATAAGCAAGTGATAAGCAGGTTTATTACCTGATTCGGCGGTTCAAGGTCTACTGCAGCCTGAGGCATAAAATCCCCCGGACAAGGCAAAAGGCACAGATCACCTGGTTGCTTAGATAATCCGGCGAGCAACTATCATGGTCTGCACACTCTCCTGCCAACCTCTGTTATATCGCTACGAACGTGTGCAAACCCCCCACGTTACGGTTTCAGAGTCTCTATGTCCTCTCTCCGCCGATTAGACCCACTGGTGCAAGTATATTGATGCAATTATATTTGCTCACAAGTGTGGTATGTCTGGCATTTGGGGATTCGACTACTGAGTGACTCTACCCAGCAATGGCGTGGACGCTCAGCCCCAGCTCCATGCGCCCGATAAAGCGAGGTCATCGGTGCTTTGGCTGAAAGTCTTTCTCGGGATTGTGACAAGATACAAGGACTTGAAGCTTGTACATCGCTGCCTTTGCAAGGGCGACCAACAACCACCTCGCCCGTTATGACATCTCCGTGGATGGAAGCTGAGCAGGTTTCCCGAAACGGACTAGCGCCACTCGACGGTCGACGCCCGTCTTTAGCGACCAGGATGGCTCTGACATTTCTGACTCCTTCATCCATCAACAACGCGCGTGCTTGTGCTGCATCGGATCGCACCAACATCCACCATCACGTTCTACCACTTCCAATACTCGACTGACGCGACATTTTCGCCCCTGCGGCCCCAAATCTCGACGCTTTTGCAAAATGCCTGGTGGAAAGGGAAAGTCTATCGGTGGAAAGGCCGGCTCCAAGGACTCTGCGGGGAAGAGCCAGAAGTCCCACAGCGCAAAGGCTGGTCTGCAGGTCCGTATTCGTCCTTTTTTTCTCCCTGCAGACATATGACATTTGATCCATCCCATGGCGTCTGGCGGCGACATACCACTGAAACCGTTATGGCGTGGGATTTTGCTTTTTGCCTCCTTTGCCCCTCGCGATCGGCTTTATGTTCGCAAAAGCACGCGTATAGCTTTCTTATATCGAACATAATCCCTTCAAGAGCTATATCGCAACGGCTTGTCGCGGTTCAGGCGACTGGGTTGAGAGGGGTGGCGGTCACGATCCCTCCCGTATCCACCTTCACATCAAAGCTTCACTTCACACATTCATGCCTATCTACTATCATCAGTCCCGGTCGCTGACAGTATCCTTCAATCACAGTTCCCTTGCGGTCGTGTTAAGCGCTTTTTGAAGAACAACACCCAGAACAAGATGCGCGTTGGCGCCAAAGGTACGACCCATTTATCCAAGCCTACAGAAGGCGCACCTTCCTTTGTCTTCTCTTTCAACCATGCTGACAAATCCCGATCGCAGCCGCCGTGTATGTCACCGCTGTTCTCGAATATCTGACTGCGGAAGTCCTCGAATTGGCCGGAAACGCTGCCAAGGATCTCAAAGTCAAGCGTATCACCCCGCGTCATCTGCAGCTCGCCATCCGTGGTGATGAGGAGTTGGACACCCTGATCCGCGCCACTATTGCCTTCGGAGGTGTTCTGCCGCGCATCAACCGCGCGCTCCTGCTGAAGGTGGAGCAAAAGAAGAAGAGCAAGACCGAGGCTTAAATGATGGTGGATACCCGACGAACTCCGGCGTTTGGTGATTGAATGATCGTTAAAGGGAAAAAAGCTAGGAACGGGTTCTTTATTGTGATCATGATGCTACTTCCACCCTCTGCAAAATCACGCCCGAACAGGGAGGCAGGGAAATCAGGTCACGTCCTTCTGACGAACAAAAAAGCCCGCCTTTTATTCTCGTGACGCTGCGAAGCTCGAGATGATTATTTTCCAAGTTCTTCCTTGCTTTCCCCCAATCTTTTATTTTACTATTATTATTTTATCTCCCCTGACAGCTTGATGTCTTTTGTGTGTATTCCGTGTTTCATGTCAAATTTTCCAAGGGCGCTGTAATGGGAAAAAGGGGATATGTTTCGGTAGTGGGAAAGTTATTATTTATTTATTTATTTCCATGACCTTTCTTTTCTTTACATTTTTACCCCTTTATGTTTCTGTACTCTCTATTTTCTCTAATATCAACGGGTCTGTACGAGTCTACCTTATTCACCGCCTTCCATTATCTTCTTTTCTTCCTTCTATGTGACTGACCCATTCATCCCTACCCTGCTGATACTCAAAAGAAATGGGTGGGTGTGATATAATAGCAGTCGAACTACATGTGTATTGTCGAGCAAGTAGATCTTTAACTACCTTAGTAAGAATACTTACTTGAACCAGTTTATATGAAATGACCACTAGTACTATCATAGTACGTATATATTCACGCCTGATATCATATCCAACACTTCGCGTTACTAGTACTAGTTAAGTTGATAAGTAGTTTCAGAGTGATCTACATACATATATTGAAACGCTACTTGTTACTAGTAGTAGTAGTACTACTACTACTAATTGAACCGAAACACGGATGCGATTGTGCATTGGAAGTGAATGAATGACGTCTCTATACCTAGTACTATATAACTATGCTATACTACAGTCTAGTAAGTCCCGAAGCGACCATGATGAAAACAACAACTGAAGGTGAGTAAACTGATCTGTGAGGGTGAAGGAGAGAAAAGGGGATGGAGAGAGTCAACAATGTATATAAATACAGAAAAACAACAGCTAGTAAGTGGAAGGGAGGTATGGCGATCTGAATGGCAAGGTAGATAAGGGAAGAGGGTGATGAGCCCACCTAATGGCAAGGGAAATATAATCCGGCCAGACCGCCGTCGGGAAAAGGGATAAATCATGAGACGTCATCAAGTCGGACAATATTGCAAGAGTTGTCATTTGTCCACCTAGATAGTTGCCCGGGCATTCTCATCCCTAGAAAAGATACCCACAGGCAAAACTCTCCCCCTCCAAGAAGCTGCAAAGAATGCAAATACCCGCCCATTCAATTCGCCACTGTATCTCCCCTAACGCACGCCATGCAAGTCATCAAGTTTTTTGAATTACACCTGCAGGTCAGGGAATTGAAAAATTGTAAAGAGAATGAATGACCCGTCCTCGGCAACAGCCACATTGCATACGATGTGGTATGCCGACAACGTTCCGTCAATTCCTCCACTCCCACTATCACAGGGGCTCCATAAAAAACACGATTAGAGGAGATGAGAGAACAAAAGCACATTGGACGCGTCTGACAGAGAAATAAAAACATTAAATGATGCAAATTGCCCCATATACAAAGTGACAAACAAGTAGATAGAAGGAGATAAGTAAAAGGTTAAATGCAAATGCTGGTGAGTCATTTCTCTTGCCATGGGCACACAAAGACATCCGAATCCCGTTTTGTTGTCGTCCTTCGTAGCCATCCAGGTGTTGATGATTGGTTTTATATTGCTTTCCGCCGACACAATTTGTAGAAGGTAAAAAGTTAAGAGTAAAAGAAAAAAAGTATAGGTAAAAAAAAATGTTCCTGCATGCAAGGCGCCCGCGTCTCAAATAGTCCACAGCTTTCTTTTTGGGGAGGTCTTTATTTTCCGCGAAACAAGGAGAAAAGCATAAAAAGGTTGCGTTCAAACAGCGTGCCTGCTGGGCTGCCCCAAAATAACGTCTAAACTTGGCTAGATCAGAGAAATATTCTTTTGGTTCTCTCGGTTGAGTGTCATCTCGTCATCCCTCATCGAATCGTAAGCCAATAATCGCAGAACAGGATCAGGCCTCGTGATATAAGAGTCGTATGCATCTTGCGGCAAAGCAATCTAACAAGTTTCGTCGTCTTCGTCTTCCCATCAAAGTGTCTACTCCACAATAATCTCTACACCAGAGCTGGTGCGTAACTCGTCGCTTCCGCGCGATTGGTGTCCGTTCTGGCGTCGAAATCCTGGACCTTTCTCGGGCATCGGGCCTCTCGGCTGCCTAATGGGCATGCGCTCCTGTGACTGACCGTCAAATCCAACTCCGATGGATCGGTTACTACCGATGGGACCAGCGCTAGAGGGCTGACTTTCTGGCTGCTCCCAAGAGAACATACCCCGCAATCTCCTCGGGCTCGCATTCGGCCCACCAATTCCAGTGCCCAGAGAGAGGCTACTGAGGCTGTTGACCAACAGACTGTCGTCGCGCTGCATACCGAGGGAGGAACCGGATGGCGCGGACGTAAGCGTAGGGGTGTTGGAAGTGCCGCTCGTGGCACCATCGTAATGTTGCAGGCGCGCTCCGTTAGACTGCAGCGCTGCAGGGAAGCTGGCAGAAGAGGGGACGGGGGATGGCGTGTAGGAGCGTAGATCTGCAAACGACTTGGCGGCTCGAAGGTTCTGCGTGTTGCCAAAGTTGCCAGGGGAGTCCAAGACTCCCAGGAAGCCAGCAGAAGGCTGACCGCGCAAAGTGTTAAAATGAGTGGGTCCGTCGTTGCGAGACTCACTGAAATCAATGGTTGCGGCGCGGTTCAGTCCACGGCGCGCTGTCTCCGCCGGTTGGACAGCGGCAGGGATGGACGACAAGGGAGGGCTAACATTGGTGCCAGGAGCGACCTTGAAAACATGCACCTGCCGCTGATCACCCGATCCCCGAGACGCATGGCCTAGGCCCATGTTGTGAGCAAGTGTATGAACGGTGCGGCGCTGGACAGGAGAAAGGTTGGACGGGAACACGAGGGTATCACGCGCCGTATCTTCCTTGAAGAGAAGAAGCTGCGAGTAGTACGAAAGCGTTGTGCTATCGTTGAGGTCGACCTCTGTAGATACGCGGAATGGGTTAGCGACTTGCAGAAAAGATCACAAGGGTGTCAAGCCACTTACCCAACTTTTGGCCACGCTGGGAGACGGGGGACGGGGAGGTAGCGGGAAGGTGCGAGGTAAGAGACGACATGGAACTCTGAGTCTGGAGCTGCGAGCTCG